ACTCTTTGCCAAACAAATCCAAAAGCACCAAATTGTGCCATTGGAAGAATCAATGATTTGCGAGTGATCGTTAGTAAAATTGAATATTTCAATTATTCCTTTTATTATAGAAATACTTCAAAAAATTTCTACATAATCTTTTGACCCTTTGACCCTAATTTAGATAATTTGTTATATAATTAAAATTAATTTATTGTACAATTAAAAGAAAATTAGGAATATTAGTTTATCGCTTAAAGGCTATTCATCAAAATGGCGGATTTACGGCTATTTGGCTATTTATGAAAACAATGGTTTCCCCTCTGGTTACTATTGCTGTTATTTGGTATTGGAAACGTGTTGTGGCGCTAAATCGAAATTCTTATTTGCTAGAAAAAGCTATTATGGCTTTGGGAATTAGCTTGGCAATTCTTGATTGTATGTTTTCTATTAATGTAAACATTCTGACAAAATTAAAGAGGTCAGAATATCATAAGGCTAAGGTCATCAAGAATTACTCGTTGTCAACACTTGAAACTATGAAAGTTTTTTGAGAAATCACAATTATTCATACTACAAACTTTGTTTTCAACTTTTTTTCGTTTCCAATTAGAATTTAGATATTTTCAGTTCCATTAGAATGGATATCATTATGGTTTCGAGCACCATTTATGCTTCTTATTGGTGATATTAGGCAGGGCCTATTCTATGCTATATTATTTAGCTTTTGGCTTATTTTTACTGGTGAACATCTTATCGATGATACATCTAGAAATAATTTGGTAAGTTAAAGTTAGTAAAATTTTTTTTAATTTTATTTATAAGCAAATGAATATTATCATTTGTGTTCATTATCATTTTACTATGGTCCTTATAATCTCTGCAAAATAGACGTGAAGCGCTAAAAGTTCATTCATTTATAGGATATTATTATTTCACTATCTCCCAATCTAATTTACATTCGTCAGTGAAATCAACAAAATCTTTTTCTTTTTTGACCTCTCAATTAATAAGATTAGCAAAAAGTTAGAATTGACTTGCAAGAACGATCATTAGCCAATAAAAAATTTTCAATTTTAATCTAAATTCAAATTGTAAATATCAGAGTTCATATTGGCAAAATTTGACATCTGTTTTAATTGGCTCAACGTGTTTGCTAATTTATGACGTAGCTGAACGTGGTATGCAACTGTTGAATCCATTTTTCAGTATATGGTCTTCTAAATTGGGTTCACGTCTAGCGGTAAGCTTTCTGAAGTAATATTTTTTTTTTGCAAATAATAGATTATTTGATGATGCTTATTTTATTGTTCTAATTATATCACTTGTCGTAAGTATTTACACGTTTCAGTACACGTCAATTTACATAGCATCACTTTGCGTATTGCTCTATTTTGGTTTCCTTGCTTACAAAGTATATCATGTATGGATAACAATCAAAAGGAAACGATCTGCTCAACTTTATCGTAACAGCGAAATTAGACGACTGAAAGTAAGTTATCACTTTTGCAAGCAAATTTTAGACATGCAAAGGTGACAATTTGACAGTTTTTCGAATTTTCTTCTGACATTTGACAACTTTCTTGTATAATTCTTGTAATTCACATAAGACAAATTGTTTGATGAATGGAAAAGCTTTAAAATTGCAATGAAAAGCGCTTATCATCTGCAAAATATTCATAAATTAGAAGTTAAGTTGTTGTCTTCCTTTTGAATTTTCTTTTGCAAAAATCCGGAAAATCAACAAATAGTTCGAGATTGAGAGAGGTCTATCGATCTGATTGTTAATAAAAGCTAAGTTATTTCTGATAAATTTAATTTGATTATCAAGATGCAGAATTAATATCTAACTAAAATTGGAATTGAATTTGAACAATTTTTTGGTCAAATTTTTTCATTATTAAATTGGTGAGAAATTAATATATCTGTGAATCGTTTCGTTAGCTGAAACCACTTGTGCTTTAAATTTTTTGTTTTTTCAAAATATGAAACGAATCTTGGCTATTTGATGTGCAATAGTATTTAAGTTTAAAATAATTAAACCATATACATTTCAATGACATTAATGTGTGGCAAGCTTGTAAACAAAAAGTATTTCTAGTCAAATAAACAATAATTCTAGTTACAAGAATGTTTTGACATTCTTTGCATTAGTATAATTCCCATTTAACACATCTCAAATGTCTTAAACTATTGGTATTGAATTAATTAAATCTATTAAAAGGATTATTTCATTAATTTAAGGTTGAAGCAATCATTTATCGTTTCAAGTTTTTGATGTTTTTCACGTTAGTATGCGCTGCATCAACAATTATTACTTATATTATGAAACAGGTAAACTGATATTTTATGTTATTATAGTATATATTACTAATAATATTATTGTAAACAAATGTAAACAAAATACTTTCATGTTTTTTTTTTCTCATTTTCATTTCCTTTCTAGAGGCAAACAACTATGATAAAAAGAAAAATTAATAATTAACCATAATTGTAAGTCAAAAATTAATCTTTTCAATTTCTCAGTTAAGAAAATTAATTTTTATTATAAATACTTAATACTAATCAATCAATAATATATTAATAATCAAATTTTTCCATCATGAAAAAAGAGAGAAACAGATCAGAAGTTCTTTTCAAATTATATATAACTCTAGTATATAAACTAATAAATATCAGATTAATGAAAGTTTGATTACTAGTAATACCACATATAATAAGAAAGGTTTCATTTATTGATTATTAAGTATTTTTTAATTTCTTTTGTTTTTAAACATTTTTCTTTAGTATGGGGAAGGACAAATGCATAGTGATAATCCATCAGAAAGTTTATTAATTCATTCATCAAGCGCCTTTTTTACGGGTACTTTTGGTATGTGGAATATTTATGTGCTTCTACTATTAGCTATGTATGCACCATCTCATAAACAATACGGTACCACCGTTGGTATGCTATTATTATTATCATCACCATTATTATTATTATTAATTATCATTTTCGTTGCCCTATATGTATTATAATATAAAGATTTGATAATAAAAATAGATAAAAGAGATTTTTTATCAATAATTTTACATAAGATGCAAAATGATTTTGAAAATTATAAACCTTTTTCTTTTATCAGTTTATATATGCCAGCTTAATCATAACCAACGCTAAATGAATTTTCGTTTTACTAATCGCATATTTGTTATAATTTTTCCCGTTGGTTTGAATTTTAGTAAGAAAATTAATAGGAAAAAAAAGTAGTAAAATCTCTTCTTTTTGAAAGTGATGAGATAAAATAATTTTAAATTTATAATGGCTAATGCTAATATTACAGCTTTGCATGAAGAAACAGATATGCTAGTAGATGGTGAATTAACGGAATCATCCGCTTTAACAACATTTATGAAAGCTGCTACAACTGAATAACATTTCTTTCAAGCATATTTCCGGCAAAATTTATTCCTCTCAATTTGTGGTCAGATATTAATATCTTAAAAGAATTTATTTGATGTTGAAACTTCTGATATTACTTTTCAGTCATAAATTAAGCAAATTAAAATGGTGACAGAGCTGTTAACTAATTATCTAACTTTATGCATCATTTGTGCATAATAATAGAAGATAAAAGAATAGCAATGATTCCGTTCCATGTTAAGTTTAAATTAAAAAAATTACATGAGTACTTAATTCTCGATCATCATTACTGATTGATAAACTTAGTTCACTGAATTACAAAGGCATAAAGAACCGTATCACTCCTTATCATTCGTACAATATGTATCACTATTTCGGAATTATTTCTGTTCAGGAAATTAGGAATAGTTATTTGCTTATCTCCAATTATATAATGAAAACTTTTTTTGCAATTCCTCAATAGGTTTTCCACTTCATTTTCTGGATTTCTAATGACGTCCATTCAAAGGTACATATGAAGAAATTCTAAAATCAAAAGATCTTAGTCTATTTCAGCTTTCTGATCTCCTACTACAGTAGTAATTTTAAATAGGAAAAACTTTTTGTAGTACATTTGCCTTCAAGAATTTTTCATCATTTTCCCGCACTTTGTATATATTTCTTGTCTTTTCCAATTCAACAACAAAGTCTTTTAAACTAGTTGCATCTCAGTATTATATATCGTAATAATTTTTTTTTTTTTAACGATTGATTTCGTTTGCGTCTATCACTCAAGGACTAAAATGTAGCATTTTGTTAATGATAACTGTGATCTGTTTCAACGATACATTCAGATGCATCGTTTGAACAATCTTCCAAATACTTCTGGATAATAACCAGTTCTGGGATTCTATGACCAAGTCTAGCTTATGGCTGCATTAAAAAATATATGTGTAGAGTAATATCAGAAATGGAAGAGACTGTATGGAAAAGAAAAAATTATCATCGATATTATCCGTATGGCTTGACAAAAGTTCCACTTTAAAATTGCAGTGTGTGTGTCAAGTCTTAACCTATAAAGCAGGTCCTAAGAGCTAATATGACAATGTCCATTATCCATTTTTCTTTGCTTTATTATTATTATTACTATTATTATTGTCATAACATTGTTGTGATTAACTGTTACTGTTATTAAAGATACATTTGATGAAAAAAAAAAGAAAAAATGTAACCTATTTACAGTGTACTGATAAATAACCGTCTATTTTGATAGTAAATATACATGATCACATAAATAATAAAAGTCTGATCTCTAATCTGCTTCACTTCCTCACGATTACGTTTACAATTTTACATTATGCATTCAAGTGTGCCTAAATAACCCGAAAAACTACGAATAGGAAGCAGGAAGTTCTCTCAAAATCGAAGAAAAAAAAAAAGAAAGAAAACAAGGACAAGGCAAAATGTTAAATGAACGCAGCAAATTATACCCGGCAACAATTCATTCTCACATCTGTGACTCATTGCCTAACACAGCATAAAAAAAATCCTTCACCGGTAAAAGAAAAGGATACATGAATTATAAAAACATAAATTTCGATAGAAATACAGTGAATAAATACCACCCGTTTTGAATTTATTACTTCCAGTCCAGAACTGTATCGCACCTGAAATAACAAGCAAATGAGTGTAATAATAATAAAAATGAGTGGAAAGAAAAACGAAAAAAAATTATTTTAAACGTGAACAGATAATTCCACAATCGGGGTTTGCATTTTTGAAAGATCAAATTTCACCAGCCTCATGCTTATATCTTGATCCTAACTCATACATCAAATATAATATACTTTATATACAGCTTACTGCTCAACGTCGAAGAACTGCGACCATTTGCTACTGTCCGCACAAAGTGCTGATAAAGCATTGCGGATACTTCGGCGTTTTGAGGTAATGTTGAAATCCGGATAGTGCGATGCGAAATCAAAATCACCGTATAATGTAAGGTCCTAATAAAATGGAAATTTTTTCTGAATCGTAAACAACCAAAAATTATTTCATGAGAATATTCATACTATGAAAATGACGAAATAAGTTAAGATTAGAAGGAAAAGTTAGTACAAAAACACTGCCATCATCACATTCTAACTGCCACAATCACGTTACATTAAAGTTCTCCAGAAAGCCGTAAAGAAATTACTTTGATCGGAGGTTGGAGAAGGAAACGCTGTGCATATTCCAATATGTACAAACCGCAATCGACGTCATTTTCTTGCTGGGGTAAATTTTTCGGTATCACCGTTTTGATTTGTTTCGTCAACAGATTTTCTTTCCGTGCACTCAATTCGGAAGCTCGCTAAAGCGAATGACTGGTGTTAAGGAAGCTACGTAATTTAACGCAGATATATTAAACTGAATATAAGGTTGACGCAGTTCTAGCAATATTTGGAGAAAATAAATTAAAGTATACAGTTCTACCAATGAATCTGCACAACCAAATTTTTCATTTCATAATTAAACTGTTGAATTCAATTAATTCGTTTACCAAAAGTTCTTTCCTATCTTAAGAACCTGTAAGCGCAAATGCATACAACGAGATTTATGTAGAAGATGAAGGAAAGATTTGTCTCCCTTAAAAATTATAGCGTAAATTTTTCAGATCACCAGTAAAATACACTTACCAAAAGGAAAGTTTTAAGAGTATTTACAATATCTTCTGTACAGGGCAGTTCAATGGATTGTTGTGAATCAAAAATTATTATTAAAAGTTCGGAAATGGATAACTGCTGTGTTAAACATGACATCGAAATTATTGTTAAAGACCTGAAATTGGTCAGTTCAATTGGCATAAGAAATTTATTTAATCCGTTAATCAAACGATATTACGGAACAACACCATAAGACTACAACAAGGTTTGCACATTATCTTGAGTACAAAGTCTCTAAAAATGTATTCCATTTTCTGCTATAGCAGCATCGTTATTACTTTTATTTATCAAAACAAGATGGTCGTATAAGTGAGCGTGATTTTTTTTTTCGAAATCAAAAGAACGAATAGAATTGGAAATTTAACTTTGAATATTCAATAAATTTTTGATTCTAACCAATGGTTGTATTCGTTAACAGGGATCACCAGAAAATCTGCATCAAATATGTCTTCATCTTCAAGCCAATACTGAATGCGACTTGGATTCGAGACCTAAAAAATGGTGGAACTTAACTAACCATTTATCATACATTTGATTGGACGATTCCAACAAAGTGCTTGAAGACTGAATCGAATTCACTACATCGATATCGATGAAGATTTAGAAATATATTTTCAATGGTAAAATATACTTCAAATGCCTTTAGAATGCCTGGAAATACAGGCACATACAGAAGCACCTCTGAAATGAACCCACAACCTTTCAAAGGAGATAAACTCTCGAGTTACTCGATTGGATTCTAATAGCTCTAAGATGCAATATCTCTAGGATGCAACACAGCTAAATTGTGATTTAAATGCGGCTTTTTTGGAATTAAGTTGCCAAAAGTAAAGAAAATAAAATAAGTGAGGAGCAAAGAAATGCGATGCAAATAACTATGATTTTCTATATATCAAAAAATTCCTACAAATAAATGGCAACTTTTCAAACACTTACTTCATCAGTGCTACCAATTCCAGTCACTGCAAACCTATCAACACCAGTGTTTAAGTTCCTGAACCATGACTTCAAATTTCCCCAGAACAACGATGGAAATATATGCATTCGCAAATTTCTATAAATCAATTAGATCAATCAGTACCCATATGCTGAAGAATACGGCAACCCTTCCAGAAAGAGACTCACGATTGTAATCGCTTAATTATTCCAAAAAATCATCTCAGCTAATAAAAGTAAACTCACAACTACGGATATTATAAAATATTAGTGCAACAGTTAATTCTTTCCTTCAACTTATAGCAAACTGCTACCATAAACATAGCATATCACTACTTCACAATGAAGAATGACGACTCAGCATCATCTCATACCTTAATGTGCCCTGGTTTCCTTTACTTCCACTAATAATAGGTGAGATTTCCAGGAAAAAGCTGATTCAGAGAGAGTAGAAGACTGATTCAACCTAGGTTTCATGTTTCATTAACAATAGATTTCAGGAAGGAAGTTTGGGTTACTCTCCATCCAAACCTGGATAATAAATATAGAGAAATACCAATCAAAACTTACGAATCTTGTATCAAATGGCATCTTATATGATTCAAGTAGAAATCAATAATGGTACCATTGAGTAGTTCACCTTCGGCTAAGCATAACAAATCAGCAATACTAATATGCAGTGACAGGGATGGAAATCTTACGCGAATTATTTCGGTACGTATATCTACTTCAAGAACCTCCTGAAAAGCTACACCATTAAATGAAAACTGTATTTGAGATGAAATATATAAATTATTACCTCTCATTGTTGCTCAACTCATAAGGATATCATATCAAAACACTGAATTCCCAGAATATTAGTCAGAATACGGTTGCAAATTGATTATTTACCTAGGGATAAAAATTAAGGGAATAAAAGTACCTAAAGAATTCCTATTCATAATGAAAAAAAGTACTAAATATATTTAGACGCAAAAATTTGTATAAATTTATCAAGTTCAAAAGCAAAACGAAATATCACTTAGGTACAAACCTTAGTCTCGTTCTCGTCATCTGACAAAGAATTGAGCTCATTGGCGAACCCATTCATCGGTTACGTAGCGTAACAACCGCTCTTAATCGCTCCAAACTTCTATTTGAAATAATTGAAGTATAACTTCTTGTTTTTTTTTTTTTTTTTTAATTTAAAATTCTTTAAAACTTCAATCAAAATTTACAGTCCCAACCGACAAAGGAGATACCGCCCGAATAGAAACAGAAAGAGCAAAAGCAAATGACAAATATTTGGGAACAGCGTCCGACGAGAGACAACCCAAAACGAGCACCGCTCTCGTCCAAACACAGTCATTCTCTGTGGGACCCTATTGAACTCAGGGAAATTAAAATTTCATTAGGAAATTTCACTCACAAATTTTTTCATTTTTTTTTTAAAAAATTTCAAATAATGCATTTGGTATTATTTGAAGAATTTTTTTTATTAAGATTACAAAAAGAATTGAAAATAAAAAATTAAAGAAAATTTGATCAATTGTTTAAATTTACAGAATAATAATTGCACTAATGTTATATGAATGCTGATACAATAACAATGCTCATACAGTAACAATACTCATACAATAGAAATGCTTATATAGTAACATTGCTCACACAATAATAATACAATGTTTGTTGCAACAATAATCAAAAAATTAAAGGGAAATTTTTCAAATTATCAAAAAACTGCTCTTCATTTTGACGATATTTTTGTTGCTTAATTTATTATCATAATTTATTTATTACAAAATTATTTTGAAATAATTTTTTTTTCTTCTGATTCTTTTATTTACTTTCTAATCCATAAACAAATATAGTGGACATTCCAGAGATACCAATGAAATAGTGGTCAGCATTGGTCAACATTTCCTTGTTTATCATTTACTTCATTAAAACTTACTGTTTGTTTATCTTTTCGAGAATGAATATGAATGAATGATTATCTTAGCGTATGGAAATGTTATCAGTACTAATTGAGAAATGAATGATTTTTGTGATGAAAATGATCTATTTTTAGAGTATTACCTATTATGCATCTATGAAATGTTGTCGAGATTCTGTAAAAGTAATATATTACCTTGTTATCATAAGTCAAAGAAGATAACATAAGTAGTTTGAAAAGTTATAGATAGTGTAATATAAAAGTAATTATGATAACTTTCCATTAACTGCTTATTCAAAATTACTCTTACTTTGAAAAGATATACGAAATAAAAAAAAAAGCGAAACAAAAGAAATTAATCCATCCTACAAATTTATAATTTACTTAGCAGAAAGGAAATGAATCATTGGAGTTAATGAAAGTTTTGAGTTGGTAATATTATATTTGGGAAAAAACATGAAAATAATGAATTTTAGAATGAGAAAATCATTTTCATTATTGATTAGCAGTGTTGTTAAGTTATTTCAGCTTGGCCTTATTTCAAACTTTTATCAAACAAATGTTATTACCAAATTGAATTCCAATAGTTTTATTTTCTGTGTTTGTTATTGTGTTTGAGTAGCTGTAACAATTAATATTCATCCTTTGATTTTAATTAAAAGTGTTCAACTAGTTGAAGAAAATTAAATATTCATATTATCAGTGATAGGTTATCACTGATTGTGAATGAGGGAATCTTTTTGAACTCTGGAAGCCTTCTGGAAAATAACATTCAACGTTGGATTCTAGACGAATGGATAGAATTACCGAGTTAAGCTAAGTTAATCATGATAAATGACAGTTATAGTTATAGTGACACATATATAATATGGATATCATTACATTTAAATATTTATGTTTATGACTTTGCAAATTAAATTCAAATTTGATTTTCGTTATGCTATCTATAAGTCGAATTAGATGAAGAAGAAGCGAAAAATATTTATGCTAAAAGATTTGAAAAGTAAAGCGAAAGAAAGAGCTAATAAACAGAATGAAGCAAATTATATCTTAGAAAATAGAATTTGAGTTAAAATTTGGTTAATTGTGGAACATTGGTAAAATATCAATGAAAAAAAATATATGTCAGTGAGAGGACGAAAAAGATAATAAATGATTGTAGTAACTTTTAATAAAAATATTTCATCATTAATCATTATTTTTTCTGTAATTAATTTGATTTTTTTGTATTAGTCAGAGAAAGTTGGAAGGAATAACAATTTATTTTATTTAATACGACAATAATACAAAGTAATTAAAATTAAATAGTTTCAGTATCACACAATCTATAAATTGATCTATTCATTTCATCCTTTGGTAAACATTCCTGTTTGATATTTTTAGGTAAGAAATTTTTTGATCGCTTTAGGAAAAGATTTAATGGACAGAAATCACTATCAGATGGACATCCTTTCGTAAAACGTGTTATCGCACGGTATTGATGATGGAATGCTTCATGAAAGAGTATCTGAAAGAGTAACAACAATTAAATCTGATATTTCAAATTATGATTTTGAACATAATATAACTCATTGAAGATTGCTTGGAACTAAACTAGAATTAATTAATTAATTAATTAATTGGACTAGTAGTAGAGAAATTAGTCCAATATATTCAATTTAAATAAGCGGGTTAATAGTACAATAACTGTAAAACAAACTTATTATTACAATAAATTCATACTGAAACGATATCAGTAATTTTGCGGTGAAACTATCGTATAAGTTAATAGTAAAAAGAACGAAATTAAATAGCAACAATGAAATTATAAAAGTGATAAGTTAAAATATGTTAAAAATATAAATAAAAAAAAAAAACAGCTTAAGAAATAAATACTTTTACTGCGAATCCTACGTCGGTTTTATTCCACAATTCTATTGCAATAGAAGCAGTATATTGCGGTAAACTTTCCTCGAGAATTTTTTCATCAGCAAGTGTAGCTAATAATGCAGCAACTGTTGTGTCATGCTGTTAAATATATTTTAAAAAAGGAAGAATGAAATATGTTAAAACAGTTTGAAATGAAAAAAGTAAAGTAAATTTAGGATGTGACAAATTGACTTACTTAGTATTTTATTAATTCACAACTTTTGCTTGTTTTTCCTTTTTTTTTTTTAATATTTTTAATTGAGTAAACTTTTCAGAAAAGTCCTCAAATAATTTTCAACAAAAAATTTTATGATATTTTTCCTGAATAGTTCTTTCAAAAATATAGCATATGCAAAATACATACTGCTGAAAGGGCGAAATATTTACGTTGTAGAATCCATGAACAACTAGAATTTTTCGGATTCGACAAACATTCTTTCTTCTGGTTTATATTTTCCAAAAAAAGTTTCAATAAACTGCCTAAATTAACAGTTATTTTCATGCATTTCTTTGCACTAACAAAAAAGTTACTTTTCTAGGAGAGTATTAAAGAGTAAAATAAAGTTTAGCCTAGAAATTACATTGTTTTTATTAAAACTTAAACCAATATTTCGCATAAAGTATTGTGATTATTAAACTTCAATTTTTCAATTCAATTTAAGAATTACAAATGATTTTCAAAAAAAAAAAATATGAGAAAAATCATTGAATCATGAGATTATGCTTGTGAATTTTAACTTCAATAATTCATTAATAAATCACAGATTCAGATTATAGATGTAAAATGATAAAAATAAGCATGACTTTCATGTCAAATGTGAACATATGGAACTGTTGAAGAAATCTGAAATGATAGCTATCAAATTAGCCATTTCAATCTATCAGTTAATAATATCAATAATTATTTATAAATTTCAGGAGTGGCTTACAAATAATAGCAAATGCTTTACCTCCTCTAAGTTTAATCAGTTCCGGTAGATATGGTTCTGATATACCATATATAAATTCACTGGTTATCATGGATAAATTACTTAACTTTTTGGAAACATCATCGGTGATCCAGGATGGCTGTGACAGATTATGCATCATCTGCAATGAAATTCATTAATTTATGAAATTCTTTCATTAACATATCTCTTTTGCATGTCTCACAATACTTAAATTTAACACTTTAAATTAATTTGTAATCAATTGGTTACGTTTTGTCACATAAATTTACAGTTTAGTTATATCAAATAATTGGAATTTGTTTCATTAATTTTTATGAAATATAAGTGTAAACAACTCATCGAATTAATTTAGGTAAAGAAAAGGAAAAAAAGAAAGTCAAACCTCTGCATAATGAATATCGTTAATGGTGTGTACATTGGCTAAGTTTACTTTCATACCACTTTTTTTGCTTACATAATCAAAAAAATCCTAAAACAAAGGACAAAAATTATGAGAATTTCCTAAAGAAACGATATTAGTTTGTGTAAAACCTAAAGATGTGATGAAAAATTATGAGAAATAGTTCTTATATCGATTTATGTATCTAATTAGTAATTAGAATAAATAATTATCAAATATAATAAACCATTAAATCATTTCATTATTTACAAGTAATCAGTTCACAACACAATTTGAGAATGTAATAAGACATTTTAGATTTCGAGAATTTTTAAAAATGAGTATGTGAGCTGTAAAAAAGTTGAAAAAGTAAAAGTAAAAGTATGAAGGAATGATAACGACTAAAAATTAGATAACATTTAATATTTTCTTCCTCTCTTCAAATTTTGACAAACTGCCTTCTAAAGCTTTATGCAAATTCTATTCATCAGTTTGTTGATCAATTCTACCTGTTTAGATAAAGGAGTAAAAAACAATTCATCAAAATGATAATAATTAGAAATTTTTGTTTGAATAATTTTTAGTTGATATGAATCTTTGAGAAACTTCATGAATTCATTTCAAAGTATTACTTTATTTTCATCAGCTATATCTCGGTAATGTTTACTGCAACGAATAATAGCTGTTAATTGATCAACGCGAGGACATCGACTAAAAACGTTTCCTACCTTAAAATCATTTTTATTAATGAACAGAAATTAAATGAATTTTAAACCAAAGATTAACTCATTCATTCTTATTATTGCAATGCGTTAGGTATGATATAACTTAGCGCTTAATTTTAAAACTAAAAATTCAGCCATTTTCAAAGGAATAAATATAATTTGACTTTTTCCCGGCCAGCATTAATTATATATTAAAAGCTTTGAAACCATGGTAACTTCAAGTATTTTGATTATCAATGTTTAAAATTGTCCGAAAATAGCAAAAATAAGGATTAAAAAATTGTTTTAAAAAAAAAAAATGAAAATTACAAAATCTTCCTCATTGTCGATAGTATGAATAGGTATGGGTGTCCAATGAGATGGCCATTGCTTGTATTCCGGATAATCCTTTCCAGGTATTCCTGTAGGATACATACCAGCCAAATTAGCCATTGCACTAATTAATGTTCGATTTACATCGGTACTTCTAATATACAACTGTAAAATTTTTGAAATTATTTTTTATTTTTTGTTTTAATTACTGTACTCATTGCATGAATCGTAGAAAAAAAGATTAGCATTAATTAATTAATTAAACGATTTATAAAAAATATGTAGCATTATATTTACTGCAGTTTACTTTCGAATTTTTCAAAACAATTAACATTTTAAAATAATAAACGCTCATTTCTGATCTCTTTAATTCATGAATTTCTTTATTTTATTTTTTTTTTTTAAGTTATAGATTAACGTAATCAAATCAATTCAATTTTTCATCTTCTAGCGAATGATGAGAAAAATCGGAAATAATTAAAGCTTATTTGATAGAAATTGAATAAAGCAAGCAAACTTCTTTCGGTTTATAATTTTGCGACAAGAAATTATAATCTTTTTCGATGTATCGCTGTCGAATTAATTGTCCAAGAGCAAATTGTTGCATCATTCCAAGCTGAATTTAACTAATGTATATTAATTAATTCTGATAATGTTTTGAATTTAAAATTAGTCGAGAAAAAAAAAATTCAAGAAAACATATTTCATATACAATCTAACCTCGGTGAGTTCACCCCAACCGTATGGCCATGCATCTTCCTGATGAGTATCAGTTGGATATGTAAATATCGGAGCACGGTCACCATGACGCCAAACCTGAAAATTTTTAAGAGGAAAAGAGAAGAAATAGCAAATATTTAACAGAGAAATTTACTTTTTCTTTTAAATTGGTTCAAGCTGATAAACCGAGATAAAGTGAACTGATGGCTTATCATAGCAATAGAATTAATTATCACAGTTTATTTATTTATTTTTTCCTCTTGCTTTTTTAATAGCTTCCTTTCATAGATTCAGAATTTATTGATCGGAATTTATGCTATCATTCAAATTGATGAAATAGTTTTGGAATAGATTTCGAGAAAAGTGAATTAGTTTTGATTTTGTAAAGTATTTTCAAAGTAAAACATACTATTTGTATGAAAATTAATTCATCGGCTATAACTGTTGTTGCAATCAAAATAAGCGACAATGCATGAAATGCTGCTATTCCACAAACTTCGAAATGCATTAATTCTACTTTCTAAAGCAAAAAGAAAAATCATAAAACTATCTTCTCTTTTTACATTTAAAAACAATTTAAAAAAAAAAAAAAAGACAGAAAAAGGCTAAGTTAAACTTATCTAAACCAATGTGTTTAGAATAAGTTTATGTAGGATTCAATACGAATTGAATTTTAATTTTTGTAAAACTAAATTCACTACCAAAATATTAACTGTATCCCATTTATTAGCATAAAGAATGAAACTATAACTAGTTTTTGCTCAGTTAGAACTTTTAGTAACGAACTTTTTAAATGATTTTTGGATGATTTTTGAGTGAAAACATCTGAAATAAAACTTTTTAAATTTTGATCTGTAAATTATTTAAAATTTTTTTTTAACAATGTAAGACCATACCTGTAAGCCGTTCGGGCTGCCTTACTAAATGACCGATAAAAAACGATCAACGGTCAGTTAAAGCATTCATTATCTTATCAGTTGTAAAGAGAAGCAATAGTAGCGCTGATATTCTATGCTTTTATCATCAAAAGCAAAAGCATAAATCAATTAGCCATGCAATACACTTTTATCCATTCGATCTTTGTTCTTCTCAATTATCAATAATCATCAATCAGTGTTGTAATCATAAATGGTTCTCTTTTTTTTTGTTTGACTTAATGCAAAATTTTATGATATTAAAAAATGACAAATAATTAAGTTTGAATTTTGAATCAACTAAAATAAAATTTAATTTCATATTGAAATGAGCAAAATCATTAATGTTTAGTATCATTTCATTTGTAATTTAACTTATCAACAATGATAGAAAACCACAACAACAACAAAACAAGAATCAATTATTTATCTGAAAGAAGTGAAAAGGACAGAAATGACAGTAAATTATAAGAGGCAAATTATTGAATAGTTTTATTTAGCATTAAATTAAATATTACTAATTGAATTCAAGCGCTAACAATCAAAGATGTCACAAAGCTTTAAATTTTATAGCTTTTATTAAGTGTACACTGCTGGATGCTAATTAATTTGATGTAATTTAATAAAAATTTGCTAATTTGATCAGAGTTATAATCATATGAGAATTGTTTGGCATAGTTATATCAGTTCCATTAGGAAACAAATTTTCATTGTAGTGCGAGGAATTGTTGGCTTCCTTCCAAAATTTCGTTATCTTAGAAATTATTTGATGAAATTCCATTGGTTTATTTATGGATTTACTTTTTACTATTAATTATTGTGAACATTTCTCTCTTTCATCGAAAGTTCACGCTTATATACGTGAAAGTTTTGCTTATTAGGCGTTTTACTGCTTATCATTTTAAGAATTTAATTCATTTCAGCTCCAGAGAAAAATCACATTTCATACGTAACCTGGACATGATGGTGGAATTCAGTATGTCTATTTCTGTTTTACTTAATTATGTCTAAAACATTATTTAACATCTGTTCAGTATAGGATGTTTTGACATTTATGAAATTTATAAATGTCAACGTGTTTGTATGTTGTCGAATAACAAACTTGCTTACAGGATATATGCTTACGGACGGTTGCTATCAGTGCCATCACTTGCTATGATGGTGGACAGCATTCAGTAACTAGGATATTTTCTTTTATAGACAAATATGTTTCTGCCGGTAATTATTATGGCTTAATTTCTGCAAGCTGTTTTTCTCTCCTGTCCTTGGATTGTTTTAAATCAATTGACTGCCCTCTTTTTTACTCACTTTCTTTCTTTAATTGGGAAGATCCATCGCTCATCTTCTGTGTGAAAGTCTTATCTTTCAGTAAGTTTTGTCTTTTATAGAGATATAAATTTCATTTGAACACCATACCATTTGCATTGTTTTGTAGGACTATAGATTCATTGATATATACTCTTCATGTGGTAGGCAGGCAAAAAGTAGAAAGAAAAAGGATTAAAGAGGAGCAACTATAGGTTTTATTATTATTATTATTATTATTTAGTTATTAATGATTGGTAGTCCACTAAATCCTCGCTGTTTTTAATTATTCTTCAAATAAAACATATGATTCGGTGAAGTATTTTCTTCCATACTCTTTTCTAGATATTGTTTGAATATCATTTTCTATTCTGATCGTTTTCATGTTCTTTGCTATATCGTTATCTCCATGAGAAAATTCTGAGTATGTGTAATGGGATATAATCGATGAGCAATTTTTTATCTCAAAAAAGTAAGGATGACCTAGTATCAGGTTGCTGTTAATCTTCATTTTCTCCTTATCACTGTTTAAGAAATTTCAACTGAATTATATTTAATCAAAGTTATTATCTCACCATCCTTACTCTTGATGAGTATTTATATAAATTTTTAATATTTTTCTAGTATATATGCTTGTCACGCGTATTCCTGGAATTTTATTTATTATTCTCGTCTTTATTATCTCCAGTTGTTAAGTATTTGGATAGAATATTTATCATTCTTACCTTGATTTCAGTTTTGAAGCTTGGCTGTTTTATGACATTTTTATATTCTGTTTGGTTGTCTTCTGATGTATAGTTTGACAGTCTGTTGTCATCTTTCAATCTTGGTTGTCTTCTCATATAGTAACTGTTACGAAACAGTTTTAATGTTAACATTAACATTAATTTTTTGCAACTTTATCAGGCAAAATGTAGAATTTAAAATACATCCTTATATTTCATGTACGACATTTGTTTAGTTTTTTCAGGATGGAAGCGAACATAATTTGCGATTACCAGGATGTAGTAAAAGTGATAAAAATCAGGAACCGCATGTGTTTTGCGTCGTCGGAAATCGTGACAAGACGCTCTTTGTTGTCGTTACCTCATCAATTTTTTACATTTATCTAGCAAATGTCAGCTCTTTTTTTTTTTTTAATTTATAATTTCTTCAAATTGTTATGACTTATGGGATGAAAATATTAAAAGGAAAATGACTGGTTATTGAGTTTAAACTGTTATGTAAGAAGGATAATAAAGCCAGTTAGTTATTCAAAAAACGACTCGTAGTTTTATCTGTTTTGGGAACGTTGGTCCTGTTCTTCCAGTTGTTTTGATATATCGCTTTCGTAATCTTTGTAGAAGAGTAAAATTTTTTGAAACAACTTTAAGCTCTATCATTTTTTAAATCTTCAATTTTCAGTAACTAAGTTTGAAGTCTTTTCTTTTAGCCTCAGCTTTTGCTCTGTTTGTTCAAACGATCTGACGACGATGTGAAGGAAAAGGGTGAATATAGAAAAGTTTATTGGCGACATGACTCCTCTGCAATTTGTTTTACGGTTTGTTTCAACTTTTTTTTTTTTCAAAAAGGATAGTATAGATATCGTAAAAAGGGAATGAATCGAGCTAAATAATTGAACAGCTAACAGTATAGGAGTGTTTTAGAAATTCAATGTTTGTTTATGTCTGATAGGGGATTGCGAGACTGCTAGGTGATACATAATGCCCTGAATTCGGGCAGTGCAGTATTTTTAGAAAAGAGACTGTCATCTCTCCATCGATCTGTTTCTCCTGACTTATTGTGCTGACCGATTTAAAATTCTTTAAACTGTATGTTATTATTTGAAATGTTTCCCGTTTTTTTTTTTTTTTTTGTTCATAATCACAATAGGGAATAGTGAATAGAAGTTATCCTTCGTCTGTATTTTTCAGACTTCAAAAAATTGTTTATTATTGTATCGATTGGAAATATCATCCGACAAACAGTCTTTCAATTTAACTGAGCCACGTGAGGAACACTTAAGGCGTACTTCTCAAGAGTTATTTATTCATGAAAAAAGGCCAACAACTGCAGCATACTTGTCGGTTGTTGCACGACTTAACAGTCCAGCAACATGGTTTGTGTTTCTGAAGTGTTAATTCAGAATATATATTATATTTTACACTGGAATTATATAAATAAATATGTATCGTAATCACATATGTAAGCTTTGTGCGGTTGCTTTGTGTAAATTTAATGAAACCATACATGTTTAGGATCCTTAAATAATTCGAGATTCATCGAAAGTTGATCTTAGATCAGATCTAAGCATATTTTGTTTTTAGTATTGTGCCTTTCCGAGATGACTTATTTGTTTGTTTGCAAGATGGCTGGTTGCATCGTATATCATGGGAAGGTGTTGTTGATAAAAATTTCTCATTCCACTTACTCGATGTTCCATTCGCAGTTGATCAGTTGCAGTCTAAAAGTAAGCTAACACAAAAGGAAGTAAAATTAAGAATTTAATAATTCTTCAAATTTATTTCAGGTTTAATTCAGTCATCAAACTTTTCCTTCATCAATCGTTTTCCGAAATTTCCAAGTCATTTTTTCTTTTTTTCTTAATCTATTAATATATTTTTATGCTTTTACGTTTATTTATTTATTTTTTCAGCTGAACATGTGCAAGAATTGAGCGTGCATGTTACTGATATGGCATATGCTCCTCTTATCGGTGGTTTTTGTATAGTGCTTTCTAATGGTACCGCTGCTTTGCTAACATCACCCTCTTCTCGATTTCTTCCGAAGGTAACACTTACGTTTATCCATTACTATGAATATTCACTTCATCACTTTTTAATTTTTTCTAATTTTTCAGGCGGTGAATTGCTGAATTAGCATGATCTTCTCTCTCAAAATAGACTTAAAGCCATGTTCGAAAAATTGAGATAATTAATTATGAGAAGGCTAAAGTGACTTGATTGAAACAAATGTGATAAATTTATTAAGCTTCTCTTACATTGATTTGAAATGTACTCAAATTCGATTTTTTTTTTTTTTTCAGGAACTGTTGGGAATATGGGCAGTGCAGTTGAACGATGCTGTCTGTACCGCAGCAAACCACAAATATAGATTGGTTGTTTATGGATGTAAAAAGTATGACTCTTAGAAATAAACTACTTAATGTTTTGAAAATTTAAACATATGCTTTGGTTCTTTTATTTTTTCAAATAATATTAACCTTTAGTGGTGATATTGCTGCTTTTCATTTGGACGATACTAATGGCTCGTTAATAAACACATTCCGTGTAACGCTTCAAGTCAAGAATGGACCAGGTAGAGTTGTTGCTTAAATACAGTGTCTTCATAATTCCAGACTCAAAAAATTATTAACAACTGTATAGTCTTCATGATTGATTGTAACATTTATAAATAAGAATTTGAGTCGCATTCGGAAATATGACATAATTCACTGTTGTTCAAGATCATATTAATTTTCTTCATTAATGAAGATTACTGGAATTCAGAGTTATTAAATCGAATGGATCAAGTGCGACATGTGGAATGCTATGCACAAGGAACAGCATTAGCAGCCATTTGGTCACCGTTATTATGCGATGGCGGACATGCAAGTAGTTCGAATACAGTACCTATTGTGGCGATATTTAGCTCCTTTGGTGCACAGTTATGGTGCTCTCTCGAATCTTCCAGTGATAGGTTTCTTTTCATTTTATAAAATATTTAATTTGTTGGGATACGTTGCATTATCAGTAACCTAACTGGCAAATTTATTGAGCGGATAAATATATACATATACTTAGCATGCGATGTCTAACTGATTGCAAATTTGATTTAATTTAAAAATCTTTAGTCTGTTATGTTTTTTTATATATTTAATATATAAATTCTAGGAGTATCTGTGCTGCCTCGTGTCATTGGGTTGATTGGGGTCCAGAAGGATTTAGTTTATGGCTAGCTACCGATGCTGGATTGCATATTTTACCCATTGCGCATTCTGTTAATTCAAATGGCGTCGTGAGTTTTAGATTTTTCCGGACAGCATATGTAAATAAATAATTCAAATCTCAGCTATTGATGAGGTGTTCATCAAGAATGCTTGTCTAACTCCCTATTCGATTTGTTGTTTTCATGATTTGTTTTTTTATTAATTCAGATTTACCTATTTACTTAATTGTTTAGTTTTAGCTATAACTAATTGATAGATTTTGTTTATTTTGAAAACATCAAGACTTTATAGTTTAATTTTAGGAAAGTACGGATAGGATTATGTTTCTTTCAAGCAGTCGTATCTATCTAAGCGCTGCAAAAGAACGAGAGCAAAGTGTTAACGCTCCTCATAGTATCTGGCATGTACTTTCGGTACCAAACAACTATTTATCATTTAACTGGCCCATTAGAGTAAGTGATTATACATTACAAATTCTATAGTTTTCTGATTAAGAAAACCAATTTACAGGTGCTTAAGGATATTGTTAATAATTAGTGCGAGCGTGATAACAGATAAATGGAGAGATTTTTTCCCTGAGCTTTAAAATATCCCGGCTCATTTAGAGATATTTTTATATTGAAATCGAAGGCCTTATTATTATACTGTAATGTTTTAGTTAGTTGAAATGGATGATCATGGGCAGTGGCTTGTTGCTGCGGGTTCTCGAGGTTTTCTCCATTACAATTTAATAACTCGTAAATGGCGCATGTTCGGCAATGAATCACAGGTCGAATTCTACTAAATTTTCATTTGTTTCTTATATTTCTGAGAAATTTAGTTGATCCAGCAACTTTGTTATCTCTTTAATCCTCGTTACCATCGTTTATTTTTGGTTAAGGAAATTAATTTATTATGACCCGTGCTACTTTCACCTCTTTTTGAATTACAGAAGCAATTTATATATAAGTTGGATAAGCATAGTCCTATGTTAAATTCAGGAAAGAGATATGTTGGTTACCGGTGGAATGACTATTTGGGAAGGATATGTGGTGGTTGCCTGTTACGATATTGATCGTTCTAAGGAAGAATTACGGTTTTACCCATTAGAAAATCAGTTAAATAATCAGTTTTGCATAAGACATGCTATTAGGTCACGAATGCTTCTTTTAAGTCGTCGGTAAGTAACATTCTCTAAATTCTCATCCATTTGTTTGATCAATAAGATTTTTTTATAGAATTGATTGGAAAAATTAATTAGTTTAGAATTTAGTTAAATTGTTACTGCTCAAAACTTCTGGATGTTTTTCGTATCCTGTTTGGTGATTTTCCCCTGCATATACCATTTGATTGATTAGAGATATTTCATATATTTGCAGACAAAACAAGTTAATAACTTTTGATGTGGATTCATGCATATTTATTTTCACTCTTTTTTTGGAAAAGAATGTCAAGAATGAGCAGTCATTAATACGATTAGAAAGGTACTTGTTGGGAAAATAATGGTTCTATTTCCATATCGAATAGGGAAATAGAAGTAAAGTGGAACTTTTATCATTTAATCATTTTATTTTTCTTTTATGAGTATCATGTTCCATTTTCCGTTTTTATAGATTTTACTTGATCACATATCCTAGGGATGTTACTAGCTGATTTATTTTCTGCTAATGAAAGCCTAGTTTCATATTACAATATATTGTCACAGAAGGGTTTGACAGACTCGCCAATGGTTGTGTTTTTGTCATTTGAAAAAAAAAATAAATAAATAAAAGTTGGCTAGAAACTTTAGTTAATGAGACAGAAGTCAAATTTTTGTGCAAATGAATTCCAGATGTGCAGAAATACGTGTCCAAGATATAGTACCGCATGCAGCTTGTGTTCTGTCCGTGGAACCAGCATCTTTAAATCATGAGTCTGGTTAATTTTTTGTTGTTGTTTCAACCTTTATTTCTATAGTTATGTTCTACAGTTATTATTGGTAGGGTGTTTTCAGTTTATCGTTACTGGAAATTTTATTCAATTCATTGCAGAAATAAAATTTTGCGACGGTGTAGACACAGTTTTCATAAACGTTTGTGGAAGATTGATAATGTTGAATCCTGTGAAGCGAGATAGTATCGCGAGTGATTCATCCGATGATGATGGATCTTCTTTCCAGGTTTTTAATTTTGTTTTGTTTTTGCATTTCTAAGATTTATATTTCTAATTATTTTTTCTTAAATAGTTGGAAATTTTTTGGGAACCGGTTCTTCAAGTCAAATTTTTGAAATCCTTCCTCTGGCTTAGCTGTTTGTTGCTGTATTTGAAGAACTGCTTCAAATGCTCCGTGAAAACCTAATTCTATTGAACACTTTTTAATTTTTTTTTTTTTTTTTTGAAAAGCGACCGGAACGCTTCTAAGTTAGTTTGAAGAATGGTTTAAGTGACAGTCTATCTTCTCTTCAACGGTTTTGTCAGTATGGGAATTATTTTGTTTATATTCAGTTAAGTCGACCTATGCTAATCGCATCATATGTGGAACAAATTTGGTATGATGCTGCTGATGAAGTTGACAATATCTTTTATCTTAAGCCGCATCTAACACATGCATTGTGGCTGAATTGTGGGGCTAAGGGAATGAAAGTTCGTTTTCACTTAATATTTTAATATCTCTTCTAAATTCATGTTTTTTATTGTTAATAGTAAAACGAGTTGTTGTTAATCAATTCCACCCAGTGAATTATTCCACTTAAGGTTTGGATGCCGTTATTTGCTGCTCGACAGACCAGTGACACCAAGTATAATTCATGCCATTCATTCATCAGTAAACGCATTATGTTACCTTTCGAATTGGGCATCGCTCCACTTGGTTTGTCATTTCACTTCATTTTTCTTGTTACTGCAGGAAATCTTTGTAATGAGCTTTTTTTTTGGAGATTTTTTAAGATGATTATTTAAACACTTCTATCAGCTCTAAAATTCTTCTACACAGCTCCGAAATTCTTCCCTCAGAGTTAATGTTTTGCTGTTGTACAAAATCCTTTTTATAGTTATATGCAGCCGAGATTGCTTAGCAGTTGGTGTGGAAAGTTGTCCAACATATTCAGATCAAAAGGAATCAATGAAGCATCTGCCAATATATAATTTGCATCGTAAAAGTGAGGCAAGTCAACGTTATAAAAGTATAATAACTCTAAGTTCCAGAAGATATATACGGTTTAGGAAAGTGCCAAAAAAATTTCTGGATTATCTTTAAATTTATCGGACAATTTTATTAAATTTATTCGACAATTTAAATTTTTCGATGATTTCCTAAAAACATTTTTTGTTAAGCATCATTTTTTAAGTTATGCAACACTATATTAGAATTTAAAAGTCTAAGAATGCTCTTTAGTTAGGAGTGCAGTTTTCCAGGTTTTCCTGCATCATCTATTGCGACAACTTTTGAAACGAAATCTCGGTGTATATGCATTGGAAATTGCTGCTACTTGTAATCAGTTACCGTACTTCGGCCATGTTTTGGAGCTATTATTGCATAATGTGCTAGAGGAAGAAGCAACTTCTTCAGAACCAATACCAGGTTCTTATTTTTCGTGAAATTAAAATTGTTTCAAAATTCAAGCGAAATTTGCATTTTCTTATAAAAGTTTGTCTATAACTTACATTTTATATTTTAAGGCAAATGATATTATATTTTAAAAAATTATTCTCTCTTTTCCTGTTTCTTTCTTCGTTAATTGATTTTGATTTTTTTTAATAGGTAAGGTATTGGTTAGCAAATGAATCTCATTCAACAAAATAGAATTTGTGCAGCAAAATGAATAAAATAAAAACATATCTTCTGCAGATCCACTGTTACCTCGTGTGGTAGCTTTTATTCAAGAATTTCCGAATTATCTACAAACGATCGCTCATTGTGCCAGGAAAACTGAACTAGCTCTTTGGCCTGCACTGTTCACTGTAACGGGTCATCCACGTGAACTTTTCGAGAAATGCATTAGTGATGGGCAACTTGAGACTGCAGTCAGCTTTCTCATAATTCTGCAAAATATGGAAAGCAGCTCAGCCAGTCAGGAGGTTTGCTACTAAATTTGAATCTTGAGAGTGAGAGCCCATACATCTTCAAATCTTTTAATTTGTAAGTCTTACGGTCTATAATTAGTGTCCGAAGGCAAGTAGCTATAATTGTATGAACAAAGTATAAACGAAAGTGAATTTGCGCAGTATTCTTCCGAAATTTAATAAAACAACTAGTTGAATTTATAATAATTAACGAGAAATGAAGTCCTTCGGAAAAAATAACGCTTTTTCTGTTGATTAGTTTATAACATTGCTCTTTTAAAGCATGCAACAGTATTGCTGGAAGAAGCACTTTCAAAACGACAATGGTTGACAGCACGCGACATTGTTCGTTTTCTTCGTGCTATCGATCTATCCGATGTTGATGATCCACTGCGAACTCCACCATGTCAGAAGTCACATCGCAACGTAGGTAATGTAGTTTCAAGGATCCCTACGTGCATGTCAACAGATGACAGTGACGAGACCGATTCATTCGTTTTTGGCAGCTATACCGGGCCAGGTGAGATCTTACGAAATTAATATTGTTGAAGTTGTTGGTGTGAGAAATTTTTAACAAACTTCAAACTGCATTTTAAAATACGAGTTACCATGTGCAGTAAAATATTTTTTAGCAACTCTTCAAAAATTAAAAAATGGTCCAGTTTCAATTAAATTTCTTTTCACAAAAATACATGGTGAATAAAAGTAATTGAAGGTATGATAAAAAGATCGCGACCTTCACAGCAGGATGGGGCTTGCATCAGTCCATCAGGGCGGAAAGATTCATCTGGAAAAAAAGTTTCGAAAATAGGTTCTTTCGATGTATCCTTAAGTCCGATAAATGTCAATGGTTCAATGTCGACTTATCTTGATGATGTGTTGGATCAGCATGCTGTTCATTTGCTGGAAGATTGCAGTATTCAGGATTTGGGTTAGTATCTTTTCTGTAAGGAATAAAGAAATAGCTGTGTTTGGAGCTACCATTTGATAAGATTTTTTTGTTCAAATTTCATTGTTTTCTGAGGTCTTAAAAAAAAATTCCTTTGATATCTCTTCTAATCTTCACAATCATAATTTTTTTTTTTTCATTTCAGGTGCTTTCGCCGCCTATTTGGATTTTAATTTAGTAAGTTGGCTTCGAGTGCAGCGGCACAGTATAGCACGGATTACTGATTTTCCATTAGCTTTGATGCGATTGCATGCACAGTTCAAATGGCCTTATCCATTGGTCAGTCAAAGTATCGTAGAACAATTAACGAAGCAAATTGAGGGTATTAAAATTTCTTCAAGTACTACATCGCTGGATAGCTTACAGTGTAAGTTGTTAAGAATTTTGGGGGGGAGATGGGGAAGAATTCTTTTTTTTTTTTCAAAATGGAAACTTAAAGCTGTATTGTAAGTATTATTGTCATTTGAACATTGGGTAAACTAAAAGGGCTGTAAGTTTTAATCCGCTGCGTCTATAATGGTATACAAAGGTTTGTCCACTGTGAATGGTTCCAGATTCATTGTTCCAATTATATTTTATATATTTTTTAGCTCTGTCAACAGCCAACAGTAATGCTTCGTTAAATATGGAGGAACAACAACGAACTACATCAGTAGTTTCGGTAGACTTAAACTCGGTATTCGTTGACGATAAGGAAGGTATTACTTTTTACATCATTATTTACTAATTAATATTTGACAAATTGATACATTTATTAATAATGAAAACAATTCTGGACTGTTAATTTTATCATTTGTTGCAGATAGGAAAGAACCACCACCAGTACATAGGCAGTCTACGTTAAGTACAGTTTCCGCAGAAAGTTGTTCAAATTCATGCAGTGATTGGGAAGGTTAATTTGGTTTTCTTGAAACTTTTAAAAAGAAAGGAAAATAGAAAGGACATGCAAAACAAGTTTCAAATGTGTTTTGCAATTTCTGCTAAAAATTGTAAAACTTTCACTAAAAATGTAGTTGTAACAATGTAAGTATGCGAACATTATATTTAAACATGTATACGGTTGTAGGTTTTGAAAAAATATGTGGTGAAGTTGCTGCACGTGGATCACAAGAAAGTGAATTAGAGTTGAAATACATGTTGGATGTTATGTACGAAGCTGGCTGCGCCAGTTGGACATTGTTGGTATGCAATTTTTAGTCAGTTAATATTTTACTTTCTTTATCACTGTATTTGTGAATCTTTTTATGTAGAGAATGAAATCCAACTGTATTCGGTGTTTAGTTTGCATGATCAGAATAGCGAGTATCTGACAATTCTAATGATATCTAATATAGAACAAAGGGAGAGTAGCAGAAGTTAGAAAATGAGCAATAAATATAATAGAGAGGCTCGAAGCATCCATTCTGGAGACACAGACATGTTTGAGTAGTAATCAGAATGGTGTGAAGAATATGTCAATTTTTAGCTCTTTTCAGTTGTGCCTGTTACGACGTGATGTATCTTTCCTTAGTAAGCATTTCTCTCAGAAATTTGTGCAGAACTGTAGCCCAGATACTATGAATGAACTGCATAAAGGTTTGGAGCAGTTACAGAATTGGGCCTCAATTAATTGGTAAGTTTTGGATATTTGAATTTCATTCGAAGAAATGTATTAGGGTTAATAAATATTTCAATCATGGCAGTGTTTTTGTAGCTTATACTGAGTTAGACAGTACATTTTAGAGCAGAAGAGACAAACGATAATGGGATATTTTCAGTTTCGGATATCGAACTCTAATCGATGCATACAAGAGGCATCTTACAGCAATCGGAGACAGAAGTGGGGATCATGTAGTTACAAAAGTATCATCTGTCGCATCTGGTTATTGTAGCAGCAATTTGTTGTCAACCATCAGTTCACAGGTGGAAATAAATGGAAATTCCGTACTACTGGCTACTGAACAAAAAATATCGCCCACGTCAAGTAAGTTCTTTTTTCTTTTAATTTTAAAAAAGTCAAGGTAACGGTTATTTATTGAAAGGTTTCAATATTATGAGTTTAAAAAGTTGTGTTGTAAGTCAACAGCTCTTAGATTCTTAATTAATTTTTTATTAAGAATCTAACATCATTATCCATCATTTCATAGTTTATGATAAATAGCATACGAAATTGAGAAAAATATTTTACATTTTATCTTCGAAATGATGAGTTAGGATGAGAATCTGACTGAAATCCCATCACTTTTCAGTATGTTCTTCTACATCGGATGACCATACTATATCAGAGCGAAATGGTATTATACGAAAAATTAATTCCATGCCAACTCAGCAACTATCAACAACTGCAGCGATGAATTTAGTGAAAACGACGTTTACTCCACCACGAGAAAATGGTGAAATTGGTGATGGTTATGTTGATATAGATAACTGTTCAGTGGTAAGTGATACGGCTGTTGTTGGACATGAACAGTGTAATTTGATGTAATTTAATAGATATTCATTTTCTTTGCAATTAAACCATTCGTTTTTTAAAAACTTTGCATCTTTACAAATTAGTGCGTTCAACTTTTACAGTACTTTAAACCGTTTCTGGCACTCTCTTTCATTCTCGTTATATAGAAAAGTTTGTCTTTTAGAAACGATTATTGAGAAAATGATATAGGTATATAACAAAACAGCGCTCTAGCTCTAGCATTTTTTCATATAAAACCGTTTTTCAAAAGATTCATAGAAGGTTTTGCGTTTTTATCTAATTGTTGAAATCAACATTCTTCCTAATCTACCTGTTGATATTATTTAGAAAGATTTGTTTGTTGTTTTGCATCCTTGTATCGATTGAATTATTACAATCACATGCAAAACAGTAACTATTTAGTGACTTTTTTTTTATTGTTAAATTGAATTCAGTAATTTATTCTATATACCTAAATTGCCAATCTGTACCAGTTGTTGTAATCTTAAGTACATTTCATTTTTAAGTGTTGTGATGAACGTACAGGTACTCTTGCGCCTTAACTATTTACGCATTTAATTTTTATCCTTTTTAATTTTTAAGTTCACCTAACAATTAACCTCAACGAATAGCTTGATATATGTGAAATGTTGTATTGCGCGTATTACTTGAAGCTGACTTACGTGACTTGTTGCATTTTTAATGTAGTGGTTCATAAAAAAAATTAAACGAAAATCCATTTTCATTTTACTTTTAATTTATCATCTCAGAGATTTGATTAACAGAAAAGAAACAGTGCACCACTGATCATATTAAATTTTAAAGCGTATAATTAGTTCCTATTTTCTATACTCATTAAAACTGCTAGAGGTTTCTGCAGTTTACTGCTTCTGAGAATAATGAGCGTCGCATATTTTGTCAGGGTTTCTGTCGCTTGAATATCACATAACCATATCATGTTTTGGAAAAAAAGTTTGTTGTACCTGTCAAATCCAGAAGCGATATTGTGGTCTTTCATTTCATCACTCACACTATAAATTTGAAGCCTATATTATTTTTAATTCAGCTGTTTGTTTCCAACTTTTATATGGATCATTTTTTAATTTATTATATTGAACATGGGGTCAACAAATTTTTGTAAAATATTCCTGTTGTGCTATATATATCTTAGTCTCAGTAGCTTACTTTATCAAGTTATCTTTGTCTGTGATAAATCTTACTGCATGGTCTAAAGCATTTATGTTAATGTTAATTTAATTATATAAAACTTCGTTTCTTGATCCAAATCGTTTGTTTAAGTGGTTGAAGTTGGATTCTGTGTTGTCTCAGGTTTTTCGTACAAAAATTCAGGAACAGGAGAGGATTTTTTCTTCATTTTTAAGGAAACATTCTTTTCATATCTGCAGTTTGAATTTAATTTTTTTTTTTTAAGTGCTCTGGTCATTTTCTCGTTCAGTGAATGAAGTGGTAGCAGGATTGGAGGTTTGCATAAATGAAAGGGTAGGACATATGCTTAAAATGGGAATATAAAAAGGTTCGGAAAGGCTTGACAGTTCCGTTGACAGATAGTTGATCGATCGATATTGAGAAGTCCGGATACTGAGTTGAATTAAAGGTGATTCGGTGAGTGTAGTTACAGTTGATCGGATGGCTAATCGCGTATTTTTGTATGCAAAATTATTTGCTGTCATCTAGGATTTAGTGGATTGGCTTAGGAAGGTATAGAAATTAAATTTAATATTTGCTTGGAATATTTGATGAAATTTTCCATTGTTGACAGCAAATGGGTATTTCGAAATTCAACATCTATACATGTTCTCGACAATGAAACATTGTACATGTCGTGCAAATTATTCAAAATTTCATTAATGCATATGATAAATTTAAAGTATTAAAGGAATAAGTGATATGATATTGTATTGTATGAATATATCACTCTACTGTTCGGTAGCAATTACCCGAAGTTGTCTAATTTTATCAGAATAGTTTATCGGTATTTGTCCAAAACATTTGTTACCAATTTAACGAAAATAATTTTCAAGTTGGAGTTGAATTTCATTAAGATTGCATAAGTTGAAGCATATATTTCTTATAAATTATATGTAACAACACGCTATCATTATTTGCATGATGCCTAATGTTTTAACTTGGATAGTTAACATTTATTATCGTATACATTTTATCATTTTAAAAAAATATTTTATCACTTTCGAGAACTGATATCAGACATGTGAATTATAAGTTGTAAAGTGCTTTGTGTATTTACGTGAAAACTAAAAGCTATCAATGAGAACATTCATAGATATTTTTCATAATATAGCATGGAGAAATTATAGCTTTGTAAAGTAAAAGATAGAAGTTAATTAGTGGGTACATGTAAATAATCTATGATCTCTGTCAAAGTTTTTACAGTAAATCACAGCTGAGGATGAATTATTTATTGGAGTTTATATGAAAATGAAGAAAGTCAAACCATGAAATTTAAAGTTGACAGTACTTCAAAAAAGCTAATTGATGATGAATTTCAATATCAATCAGTTAAATAGTTATGCAAAATTATCTTAAAATGATAAAATAATAATTGGAATAAAATATTGGCATTATTATTATCGTTATTGGATATAAGAAAAAGGAAAATTTACAGAATTGTTCGGTGCTTTAAAAAAGATGAAATTTATTGTCATAATTTCTCTTTTATTTTTGCATTTTAATCAAGGTAAATCACACACATAATTTCTTTAGTTTAACAATATTTTAACTGAAATACTATTAGTTAATTTATTCAAGTTATTAATATATTATAAGATGCTACCATTTTACTTATGTTATACTATCAACATGTATATTTAAAGAATTAATTAGCTCAACTATTACTCTAACAATGTAAAGATAATGAAATGGAATCTTAGAATATGCTATCCATACTTTACTTTTATATATAGTAATAAATTTTGAAATTTATGTAAAAAATAGCAATGGATTAAAGTTATTCAGTTATTGCTATCAATATATCACGAATAGAAGATTTATCACCGAAATGTTTGAGAGAAGAAATTAATCTAACACAAGTGTATTATTCATTTGGTTTCATGAATTCATTTTATAATTTTGTTCAAAATATATGTTATCATATGCAAACAACAATGAGCGATTTTTATCAAAAGGTATATGTCTCGAGAATTATTATCTAATTATTCATTTCCTAGCAAAATTATCAAAAAAGTTATCTAGTAATATATTATTGATGAATTGGTTTTAATAATTAATAAATAAAATAATAGAGAAATAAATTATGAAATATGCAATGAATTTTTATTTTGCAGAAGTTAGTAGATATGATCTTATCATCGAATAATCATTTTCAAGCTGAAAATATCTATCATTTCCTGCTACAGCAAGTTTGCAATTTTGCATATTAATTTGTTGATACTTAATGAAACGTTTCATACAATTTCAAATAATAATTATTAATAATAATAATAATAGTAATGTTAATAATAATTGTTATAATAATTATTGTTTACAAAACAATAAGCACTAAGTAATGTATCAGATCAATAATTTCTTCCTTCTGTAGTATTACTACAATATTTCTAGCCATGGGCAATGGTAGTGCTAATATCAAGTGCAGTTTACATCGTAGTACTACCAATCTGTGGCATTTTGTTCTTTTGTGATTCATGCAGTTGTGCTACTGCTGATTCATTATCATCGTCTGAAGCTTTAGAAATTACCGAAGAGGTAAGTTTTGCAGTAGTAATTGGATAATTAGTTATTGCTGATCGAGTAAGTGTTAATTTTCACTTAAGATAGTATGGAAAGTTTGAATTTGATAGTGAAAATTTCATGAAGTTAATGAAAAGCGAAAGGAAATAAATAAATATTTGAATATTTCTAGTAAGAAAGAAATCAATTGTAACATTTTATTTACATCAAATTAAAGTTGATTTCATACTAAATCAAAATTATATTTTTTTAAGAAAGAAAAATTAAATTTTTGCATTTGTATAAATGAGAAATAACAACAAAGTTTACTTAAAATTTTTATGCACTAAAAAAAAAAGAAAAAACTAACTTTTCAATATTTTCTTTTAAGAGTAAAACATCGAAATATCTATTTGCATTAAGTCTAACAATGATGACAATAGTAATCGCTGTAATTCTAATGCTAATGATTGTTTATATCGAGAGTGTTAGTTATGCTATAATTGGATCGAATGAAATCGATCGATCAATGGATGCTATTTATGCAGGTTATTTTTTAAATTAATAATAAATTTTTCATTTAAAATGGAATATTTGATAATTCTGGTTCCATTCTTTTTTTTTTTTTTTTTTTATCATATAATTTTAATCTCAAAATAAGGATTTTGACATCAAAAAGCTGATTTAATCAGAGCTACATTTGTTAATTTGAAAGGAATCACAATTATGTTCAATCTGTTGAACATTTCAAATCATTTTTCGAATGTTCAAATAATTACAGAAATCTATGCGTGTGTTCTATTAAAATTACTTTTAAGTTATTTAAGTTTTTGAGTAGTTTGAAAAATAATTCCAAGCTATTTCATCCTTCAGTGCAATTCGTTTAGTGAAATAATTGATTTTTGGCAAAGTTTGCAGCTGAGATTATTAAAATATTCATTCTGCTCTATTTACTTTTCCTTTTAAGCTGAATTCAATTATGATACTTCATTTTTTCCAGCTTATTATTAAAAAAAAAAAGTTATTCATTTAAGTAAAATTTGAATTCAAAATTAGCTATTTTTAACAATTAGCATTTAGTTTATAAATATTATTATAAATAGATATCAATCTTCTCACTAATACTACATTCACTGATCTAACTTGCAAGCTGAATGAAACATTCAAAAAATTGTCTGCTCGAATTAATATTTCCATTCATCGATTACCAAACAAAATATTTGCATCACTTAAACAGCACTGTCCGATCATATCACTGCCACAGGTATATCATTTTCATTTTCAATTTTCGTTATTCCCATAAATTAATTTGTGAAATTATGCATTGTCACTCTATAATCATTTCACATATAATTTCAAAATTTTTAAAGGGAAAATTTAATAAGTTCAAATTGTTGTTTAGTGAAAGTTAGACAATTCAAAGTTTGCAAAAAACAGTTTGTATTACAAACTAAAATTAATGCTATTCATGTTAATTCTGTTAATTCTTTTGTTCAATAAACTGCAAAATTAGAAATATTTACTGCATCGAATAATCAGATAATTTAATGTCAATTTAAACTGAATGAAAATCTTGAAATGAAATATCACTGCAAATTTTATTAAAATTCATTAAAATTTTAAGCCCTATCCAAAAATTTATTTCTTTTTTTCTGCTTCAAACATTTACACACATATATATGTAACAAATATTTTTTCAACTTTTTTATTTGATTTTGTCAATTCGTAGAAAAGAGTGAAACACTTGTATTAGATCAAATTATAATTGTAATAGCTAACAAAAATCGAAAACAAAATTTTTTGATAAGATCAAACTTTTTTAAAAAAATGAATTTTTTTAGGTGATTGAAAGATTTCAAATCAAAAATGTCACCAATTTCATAGGTAATATCACACTAGCAATCAAATCAACGAAATCATTGGCAAATAATTTACCGAAAACTCTATATCAGCAATCATCTATGCAAAATATGATCGATACATTAGAAATGATTGAAAATCATTTGATAACTTTATTACAGGTTATTCCTCAAACTATTTGAAGTCAGACATTCTGATTTTGACAAATCGACGTATATCGATGATAGCAAAACTGAAAAAATTATTATTTTGATGCCATTTTTTGTTTTAAAAATAGTATATATGCGTCTGTCATTATTTCATACTTATTTAAATTCATAAGTGCAATTCACAATTCTAATTTCAAAGTACATAGACTGCGATATTAATTTAAAAAATTTAAGCAGTACAATGATATATACAAAGCAGCAAATAATACACGGAATAATGTTGAATTTTATTCGGACGATATCATCAAAATGGTCGTTTATTTCTGTGCTAATTTTGATTTCACATTTAAAATTTAAAAAATAAATGAAAAAAGCAATTTTTGAAAAATTTTCATATTTTTATTCCAATAATTTTTGCCATATAGCTCTTTGAATTTTCAATCGATAATCTAAATTTCTTTTTGCATCTATTAAATTTATTGTGGAACTTATTGTAATTTATCTTTTCAATAGCTTACAGATTAGCTTAACATTAAAGCCATCAAACAGTTTTATTAATGTCACATTGAGAAAAAACAATTTGATTATTATGAAGATGGGACAAATAATTTCTAATTTACATTTCATCATTCAAGAAGGATATCAGAAAATCAATAATTTAATAAAAACACCTCTAAAGGTATTTTGTTTTTTTATCCTGGCATATCAATGTGTTATGATAAATAAAATTGATAATCTGAAATTGGTGGAAATTAATTAATTGCAAATAAATGTAACAGCAAATATTATTATCATTTGTTTATTATTATTATTATTACACTCACATTGTCTTAATGTTTTTACATTATTGGAACTAAATTAATTATAATCACAGTGTACATTTAGTTACAGCATTACCCATGATAATATACCTAAACAAATGTTTTTAGTTATGATCATTATCAATGCTGTAGCACTGATAATTTTCAATGCTAAGGCAAAGTTCAATAAGTTTTTTTCTCTTTCAATTAATGTTTTATAACAGGTAAATTATGCATATATAAGGTATGTCATTTTCAGAATCCAGCATTTAAAGCAGCAATTTTTTCAATTTCTATTTTTGCAATTGTTCCAGTACTACTTGTTATTATACCATCAATTATAGTAATAACTTGTGGTATATATATGCTGATAAGAAAGTATGCTATTGTAATATACCAATTAAATGATTAAAAATTTGTTTGTATTAATTTAATTAATATTGTGAGAGAAAAAATTTAATATTTTTAATGAAATTAGATTTTATATTCACTAAAAATAAAAAGATAGTTAATCAAAAATAAACTTTAATACAAATTAAATCACACATGAAATATGAAATCAAAAAATCCCACAGAAATTGTTTGCTTTGTCATGATTTGTAATTTTTTTTACAAAAAAAAAAAAAAAAAAAAAAAAAAAAAAAAAAAAAATTCCTCTATTAAACTATATCAAATTGTAGTGATAGGTATCGTTTTGCTCAACAGGCAAACTGGAGATGTGCCGGTTTATGGTCTTTGCAAACCGCTGGAGCAGCATTTTTTACCGGATGGATTACGATGTTAATTGCAAGGTTTCCGTAATGTCCTAGAAATAAAATAACTCTAAATTATGGTATTCTTTAGTGATAAGATAGAAGCATTAAATCTTTTAGCTACGTCAAATTGAATAATTTATTTAATTCAACAACCATTTTTCTTTTTCTAATTAAGGAAATTAATTGAGAAATAAGAAAAAAAAGACTTTAAAAACAAATAAAAAAATTATTTTTTAATCTGATAATAGTTTACTAACTTTTATAGCATAACATTCATGGGTGGCTTTAGTGTGGAAACTATTTGTCAACCATTTTTTCACGACAAACAAATGCATTTGTATCGTTCATGGTATTTTAATCGTGCTGTCACAAATTTGATTAATTTCTCTAAATTAACCGCTGGTATTGGGTAATTTTTTCATCCTTCAGCTATTTTCTTGCTAAAAAAGTTTAAGACTTTATAGTTTTCTTGAAAGAAAGAAAAAAAAAAAAGGAAAATTATTTATTTTTCAAAAAAAAAATTCTTTTTTCATCTAATTTATTTTTTGTTGAAAAAAAAAAAAAAAATGAAACTAGTAATAAATTTATTGATTTGTTTATTGATTTGTTTTTAGATTGATTTTTTTTAATTTTTTCTTTTCCTGTAAATATACTAATTTTTGACTAATTAAGCTAGTCGTAATTTACAATGAATTTTATCATTTTGCAAAATTCATTTATCAATAGTCTTGATAATACTAAATTTCTTGCAATATATAATTAGCATTAACTTATTAGCAATTTTGTAGCGAATTTCTTTATCAGTGCAAAAATCACAAGTCGATATTATCAGCATTGAAAATGGAATCTTTCTTGCAATATTATGAACAAATGCATATGAAATATTTACCGAATGCTGCAGAGCATACTAAAAAGCTAATTGAAAGAAAGTTCATTAGGTCAAGTTTATATGAGAGCCAAATCCGTGAATTTAATGTTAGTTTTACTAATTTTTTTTTTTTTTTTTTAAATAACTTTTTTGGACTTATTGAATAACTTCGTTATGATTTGATACGATTTGAATTGATTTGATAAATTTCTATGATTTGATACGTGAAAATTTGCGTGAAGCATAAACATTAGAGTAGTGATAACAGAAGTAATGTTAAGTGGAATACTTTCACTTTACTTCCACAATACTTTTTAGAATACTTCCAAAGAATTGGTTAAATTGAAAGAGAATTTATTCAACTATGTCGTTCCTTTAAGTATCGCTGAACAAGAGCAATTATTAAACGTTTCATTTGCAAATGTTAAGGGTCAAATGATTGAGTTGCTTAAAATAATGACGTTAGTTTATAATATTTGATAAATATGCATAAATTTTAGAGCTATCAATACATACGATAATTTATACAAACTAATATAAATTTTTATAAATAAAATTTTTTTCTCTTGAATATTTCCTCTTATTTATTTATTTACTTATTTATGAAAAATTTGTAGAAACAAATTTAGCAAAATGTATTAGATTTATAGAGAAATGGAAAAAAATGTGATTGAAGTCGTTAAGCGTTCTTTGAATTCTGAAAATTTCACACTCATTGCACAACAAACAATTTCATATGAATATAATTTAACAATTAACGATATTTCTCGTCGCGTGTTGTACGCAAAGGTTGAAATGAAAATCAGAAATTTTCTAGAAGCTAGCAAATTTTGAATTTTTTGAAGTTTAGCAAAATTTTAAAGATCATAAAGACACTATGCGATATTCAATGATTTTTCTGACATTATTTGAAATACTTTTATGCTTCTCTCATAAGCTTCAAACTTTAATTATATTAAAAAATATTTTGGCCTATTTAATTTTTCCCTGAGATTTTAAGTTATTAATAATTTTTTTTTTCTTTTTAATATTGAATTTATTTCAGTTTCATTTGCTAAATGGTTCATTCATATGTCGACCATTTTATGATACCTTAGTTAATGTGGGTACTATATTTTGTAAACAGTTCAGTAGACCAATCCATGGAATTTGGTCATCTGCTGCTATCATAGCAATATGCTTTCTAGCTATTATTATAATTGTTTTATGTATATCAACCTTTTTCTTTTCTTTAAATAACAATTTCGAACGAAGGTCACAAAATGTAATAATTTCACAATAATTAAATTTTATTCTTTTTTTCACGTTTTAAATCTTAAATTTTAGTAGTTCAGTTTAATTTCTTATGTAAATTTGACTATTTATTTAAGCAATTTTATTTCTAATTTTTAGTTAATACATAGTAATAATACAATTTTATGTTGATATGCAAAAGCACAATATGTCATTTTGATTTAATTTCAGAGATATGATCTAAACATAAGGAGAGGTAACGAAAGAAACTTCCGCAACCTTCAAAGAGAGTAAGTTTAATTGAAATTGTTTTTTAAATTAGAACTCTTCATTGATGCAAATCTTATTGACGACAACTTTTTTCTTTCGTGTAAATATAAGTTAAGCATATTAAAATAATTATTGCATTTCAGGAATAACTTTAGTGATACGGAAACAAGTTCAACGATAACATATTAAAAACAGAATTTCTATCGAAAAAAAAATTCTGGCTAAGTGAGCAGAATTTTAGTTTTGATTTTTAAATTTCTTAAGATTTTCATTTGTCTTCTTAGTGCCATATATGCAACGAATGTTTTCTTTTAATATTTTTTGAACTCGCAATTGTTAACGTATTTGAAGTAAAATATTCTTTAATCACTTTAAATTTGAAATGAAAGACGATAAGAGAGCACAACAGTATTAAATAGCTTATTATTTAGCATTATTGATTAATTTATCAATGAAAGGGGATTATAAGAGATACCTGAAATAAGTAAGACTTCTCAGCAAAAGCTTATGATAACACTGATTATTTGAATCTTCGTAACCTTCTGAAATTCTAATGTCTGATACAGTGGTTCTACTTTAAAACTGTGCTGATTCATTTATTAGTAATACAGAAATTAATTTTTTTTTAATACTAAATATTTTCATTGTTGTGTAATGGTGATGACATATAAGCACTGGGTGAAAAAAATGAATTGATAATGAGAGTTATAATTTAGAATGATAACGATGATAAAGTAGCATTAGCTTTCAAATATTTAGATAATTCTTAATAAAGCTAATAAAGAGAAATACATCGAGAAAATTTTTCAAATACTAAAAATGAATGGATTTAAATGTTTGGTGATAAATTTTAAAAAAAGTCCAAAGATATTTAAATGAATTATTTTGATTTCATTTTAACAATATATGCAACGTTATCAATTGCTAACATTAAACACAATTTGAAACTATTGCATATTTCAAAGAGGCGTTTTTAATTTTTTTAAAATTGTTTAAAATAGTAAAAATGTTCACAATTAAATTTTTTCTTATAACATTTGAAAATTTCTTTAAGCTTTCTTTTTTGATCTTTTTTTTTTTTTTTTTTTTTGCTGTATATGAAATCAAATATTTACGTGCGTTGAAATTTTATAATGCAACAATCGAAGATTTTATTTATGATAACATTTTTTTTTTTATCCTTTGAATTATCTTTGCCGCCACAGTAAATTTTTCATTTGCACGTGCCACGTACATAAGTGTTATGCGTGCGTGTGCGTGTGTGTGTGCGTGTGTGTACCTCGGAATGACAGTCCAAAACATTTTTGAATTACTCGTCAAATAATAGCATTGTAAAAGAAATAGCAAAAGAAATATAACAATAAACATCAAAGTATGACTCATCAAAACTAAAACCATTTGAAATTGAAATCATAACAATGCAATGAAAAGGCAAAATGCATAAAATGAGAAGCAATGAAATTATACCAAAAAAAAAAAAAATAAAAAAAAAAAGTTTACGGCCAAAAAATAAAAATTCTCGAATTAAAAAGAAATTATAGGAAAATGGAAATATAAATTTGCATATTTGCTATCTCTAAAAAATGTTCATAACAAAATCTGAGAGATTTAACTTTTATTTTAATTAATTTTTCAATTTGCTCTATGAAATTTCTCTCTCTCCCTAAAATTATGCATTCGCAGTATGCTACCTGGTATTTACTCTCAATTAAACGTGTTAACGTAAGACTTTCCTTTTTTCACGTAACTTTTATTGTAAATAATTACGTAAATGAAACATTGAACTATAAAAATTGCAAGTATAAAAGATATATAGTTAAGGAAGAAATGGAAGAAAAATGAAAAACGAACGTTTTGAAGAAAAGTTTTTTTATCATAATTTTTGATTAATCTAGCATTTATTTAAAACTATTAGAAAATTAAAATAATTTATTTTTGATGATATAACACAACAAAAGTAAATTTAATAATCTTTGATTGTATAAGACAATAAAGTTAATATCATTTTGAGATTTAAAACAAAAATGAGAAATTTTAGTTCGCTGTAATTACTCTCAATGCTATTATTCATTTTTGATTATTCATTCTTTTTTCTTTTTGCTTTTTTTTGTTTTTGTTTTTGTTTTATTGTTTTTCCTTTGGTGCATTTCATTAATAATAAAACATGAATTGAATGAGATAATTTCCGGAAATTTTTGTTTTTCTCTTTTATTTAGTGTTATATCTGAGAAATATTATTCGTTCTGTTTGTATTGTGGCGATGAATTCGACATAATTTAAATTGCTTTTACATTTTAACAATTTAATTTGTAAGTTTTGACATCTTCAGAATATGCAAATATTTAATTGATAGATAACATTACTTGGAAATTGTTTGAATGACAATTATAAATTTGTGTTTGCATAAATTCTTTACAAATTTATGATTTATCAATAAATCGCTTTTCCTTCTTCCAATCTTTTTCTCCTATTTCATACACATATTTTGATGATCACATGATTACTCACAAACAGAAGGCGAAATTTTACAAAATAAAATTTTCATTTTATTGAATGATAAATAATGCATCAGTTTTTTATAAAAATTTTATAATTTTTGAAATGAATTTAATCAATTCATTCTTTTTATGGAATATTTTATTAGTGTGCTAGTCCGTATGACACTGTAATTTCTAATTTAGATGAATCAAATTTCATTTCATCGGGTTAATTAGTATTAATGATTGAATGTTTGATCATTATTTGTATTTCAAATTATTTAAACTTTTCTCATAACTTACAATCGTTCTATATCTTTCCCATTTCAATTTTCAAATCATTCTTAATTAGCTCTCATTAATATTTCCCTTGACCATTTCCGTTCTATTGAAGTTCTGTTCTAAACTAGAAAATTTAACAAATACCAAATGAACTATTTAAATAAGTCTTTCATTTTAATTCTTTTGATTCATTCCATTTTAAGAATTAAGATTCATTTCAAAATTTTTATAGCATTCATTGTTTAGATCTATTTCATAGAAACTAAATTTTGCACCTAATTTAATTTAAACTGTAATTATACCATTTGGCTGGAAATAGATTTCAATCCTTCTCACTAATTATTATAATGTTTTTTTTTTTCTTTTAAATAAAAAAACTCTTTTTAATTGATTTATTTTATACTAAAATGTTTACTTGAGCTTAGCATTTCAATTTCAGTGACAACAAACATTGTTGAATATTGTCGTCTACTCTAACAATATTTATTGAATTTTAGGACTTTATTACACAACGACAAACTGCTAACGGATATATTATTCCTTCTTCTGATAATAATATTTTAAAATTTTAATCAAAGCTTGACATCGTTCATAACTGTTTTGAAATGCATAATTGAAAGTGAAAAAGCAAACAAATAAATCAATCCGAAAATATTTTCAGCTTTTTAATTTCATAACTCTTTGCAAAAACTTTTCCGCTTTTGGCATTCCATTCTTCCTTCTGTTTCAAAAAAAAAGAAAAAAATTCCTTGCTAAAAACCTTAGTAATACTCTTAGAAGTTCATCCTTTCCAGTATGATTCACATATATAAAAATAAGGTGTGATTTTTTTAAAAAAAAGAAAAAACAAAGAATTTGAGAGATTAGATTTTGAAATGTTTTGTTTACTTTTTGCAATCCTTTCATAGATATTCCAAATATTCCATATTTTTGATTAGTAGAAATTTCTATGAAAATTGAATGATTAACAAATTGAAGATGACAATTCAACTATTTTTTAATAACAATTCATAAAACATTTAGCTGAAAAAAGCTAATTAAATCGATCAATTAGTTAGATCACTGATAAGAATTAATTGTGCGAGCAACCAAAAAGTTTGATAAAATTATTATATAATAATAAAAACTATTTGTTTGATTTATTGATGACTAATTAGCAAACTAATTAATTACTTAGCTATCAATTGAGAATAAAAATTTAAAGAAATAAATTAGTAGCACAAGGTTATGATTTGTGAGAAATAACAATTTATAAACTTCAATTACTTCATATCAGTTATTAAGCAGTTGAAATCCTATAAACGCTTATACTCTTTTAAAGGATAAAATATAAAATTATTTTATTTTCGTAATAAATTTTCAAAATATTTTTATTTTTTTTTTTTCTTCAGATGGAAACTTAAATCTTATTTTATAGATAAAATTAGAATTTTTCACCAATTTTCGGTTATAAAATTTTGCAATTTATTTGTTAAAAGAATATATGAAATTCTTCAATGAATAATTTTGCATCCATTTATTGATATTATGAAATGAATAAAATAATAATAAAATGGATGAAAGTGATATGATATGATATGATATAATTTGTTTACTACAGTACAGTAGGGATATCAGAAAATTTCGAATAATTCTGTCAATGTTGAAATGTATTATTTCTCATTTTATAAAAATTTCTCGGTTATTTTTTTCCTTAATTCTTAAATTTTCATTTGTTTTCATCCTTTTTCTTAACAAATTCATTTAGTAATATTTTATTTTCATTTCATATATTTATTTACACACATTTTTTTTGCTTGCTGAAATAATACTTTATTTCTATTTTTTAATATTTTTTTTAATACATTTTTTAATGTCTGTTCAATTTTACAACAACAATATAACTTTAAGTTTAACTTCATTGTGATAGCAGTAGTGCAGTTTAAGCTTAAAAAAATTCTTCATTTCATTCTTTTTATAAAATTAATTATGCTCTGTATTTTTTGTTTAAAATTAGTGGAACTTTTTTATTTTTTTCAAAAAAGTTATTAGCTGTATATATCGAATTCTGAATCGTACTGAATTAGTAATATCATTTACCAAAATTCTGCAAATACATTTATATTCTTTTTGAAATTTTAGAAAGCTAAAAGGTAAACAGAAGCAATGCAATAAATAATAAAGCTTTGTTAAATGTTAACATTGTTATCAGAATGTTGTATATCTTGACAACTTTGCTGTTAAGTGTTAAGTAATATTTATCAACTGTACAAAACTGATAATTCCTTTTCCATCAATGATAATTTTTGCATATTCCATCTCAGATCTTATCTTCCTTTTAATTCCTATATTATTTTTAATGTTGCAAATTTTAATTCAAGGCTTTATATTTTGATAATTTTAACATTTCATTTTAATTTGGACTATTTAGCTATTATTGCAGTACTATTAAGAAATTTTCTTATACAGTAATACTATTAGTGATAATTTCATATGATTATATTTTGAATAAAAATATTATAAGATTATTGTGTAATATTTTTGAAGTTATCACAAAAGCAACAACGCTATTGCCATATTTACTCTAATTTTAAACTTATCATTTTTGTTTCAAAATTTAAATTAAATTTGAGTTTATTTCGTTTTAATTAAATGGAAATACATGTAATAAGCATATCAGAATGTTTTCATTTCTAATTAATTAATTAATTAATATCTCCCTTTGCTATCACACCTAAATAATAATATAATAATTTTGTTCATAAATAAAGCGCTCATTTTTTTGTCTTACAAATACGAATCTATAAAATTTGAAAATGCACTTTTTTTCTTGCATAATTCATTTTATAGAATTTATAAATTTCTGATCAATGATGTCTGCTGAATATTTTCATCTACGCTTAATTACTATCATTTCATATTTCATTATTATTCATGGCCGTTTCCTGGAAAGTAAGTTACTAACTTTTATGAATAGACAATAATAAAGTAAGTTAAATAAAGTAACTTTGAGCATTTATTTTAATTTTCAATCTAATTTAACCATCGATAGATCTATAAGAAATGCAAATTTCAGTTTAAAATTTCATTTGAATTTATCAACTTTGATTTATATATCCATTTTTCCTTACTAAACAATGCTGCTACAATGTCTAATGAAAAAATGTTGAAATCAGGAACCTCAGAGGCCTTAATGAGTGGTAATTCACTGGAAAACATCAATCCGGAACAGTGCCTGAAGAAAACGATAGAGATAACTTCTAGAAACTATTCGTTTGGTTTTATTGATACTTTCTACGATATTGCACAAAAAATATGTCAAAGCATGCAAACCGAACTTAGTGATACTAATGTGCAAGTTGGTAAAGTTATAAGATTTAAAGGTTAAATGAAATAGTCGAAAAGATTAAGCAATAGTAAAAAAGCAAAGTAATCTGTTAAATATAATATGAAACTTACAATGATAATAAGAAATAATAATAGTTCAAAAGGTCAAATAGAGCAATGCATCTCAGTGATTCCTTTATTCTTATAATTTTGGAATTATTTAGGTATCTTTCTGTTTTCCTTCTTAACTTCTCTTTTTTCTCTCTTAACTTTATCGCTTATCTTAGCTTATCAACTGCCTTATTAAAATATATATATTTTGAATAGTAATATTAAAATAGTTAATGATTATAAGCCAGTAAATCTAAATAATTTAGTGATTATAAAACATTGTATCTGAATAATCTTATAACAGTATTCATAAATGTTTATATTTAATTTTTCATCAAAAAAAAATTTTATAATATCAATTATTAAAAATAAAAATTTAATATATTTTGAAGTATTTTAGTTTTTGAAAATGCACTGATTCTATTCTAATAACACATAATATTATATAATCAAAAAATTTTAATTTTTGCTATAAAATGAACTAATCGAGAAAAGATCTAAATTTTAAGTTTTTTTTTGCAGATATTAAGTAATATTATTACTGCACAAACAACTGATGATATTATACAATCTATTTTTCTTGTTTGGCAGAAACAGGTTAAATTTTGTTAATTTGACATTGTAAGCAAAGTAAGAACAAAATTTAGTTATAATCCAAAATTTCTAAGTATAATTGAAAAGCTCTAACTCTATTCCAGTATTATTATTATTATTATTATTATTATTATGTAGTGATAATCAAAGAATTTAATTTGTTTCATTATATTATAAATTTTGTTTTTTATGCATAACAGATTAATGAAGGAGAATTTCTGTCTTTCTTTAATACATACATCATTCGCCTTTTCGCATAGTTTTTCATTAGAAAAGCTAACCAGAAGAAAAACTTAGATTAAATTACTTAAACTTACTTAACCTATACTACTACTACATCATCTTGTCGTATCGGTAATGGACTCAAATTGATATTTAAAACAAATTTGAAAAAAAAAAAAAGAGGTTTATATAAAATATTTTTCAGTTCTGGGCGTTTTTGTCGCTAGTAATTGCTTTTGCATTTATATTTCTTCTACCCATAAGTGGATTTTTCTTCTTTTGCAGTCGATATTGTTATTATGGCAGTGCAAAGCGTAAAAATGTTTGTTAGCTGTATAATTTATCTTTTAAGAACAGTCTTAATTATGTAAATTACAATATTAAGTATTTTAGAAGATCAAAATTTTAATTCCTAAATAATTATTAAATTAAATATTTTGCTAATAATATGTTTTAATAGTAGAAAATAAAATTTTAAAAAATTAGCAGTTTTTTTAGACTAACTCATTTGAAATGCTTCCTTGTGGTTATTTGGCATTATTAATTGGAATGCAAGCTATTATGATTGGATCATTAACGCTAAGCATAGAAAGTATCGATCATACATTTAATAATACAAAAAACATTAATAAATTCGTCCAAAATATTACTGAAGGTATTTTATTGAAATAATTTTAATTATTTTTAATTATTAATTATTGAATTAATTAATACAATTTCATTGAAATAATCAGCGCTATTATGAAAATGTTTCGAAGAATTTCCAATCAAAGCAATTGCAATAATTAATTTAACAAATTAAAATGTAATTTGTGCTTGGCTTAATTATGTTTATTATTTTCTATGGCACATTTCTTCATTTAATAACAATTTCAAAATGTTAAAATTTTTCTTTTTCATTCATTAATAAAGGAGAAGAAAAAAAAATTTTAATTTATTAAATATTATAATTATTATTCTTTTCTTAATCATCTAACAGTCAAAGAATGTAAAATTTCAGTACAAATAGTTGTAAATATATTAATATCAAGTGTGCGACAATTAATTAATTATATAATTAACAATTTTTTAAAATTAATTCTTTGTTTTTTAGATGTCATAAATGTAACAGAAATTATTTTTGATCATGTAAAATGTGAAATGGATATGAAATTACCAAAATTATTCAATAAAATGAAACGTCTTGTACGGCGATTGCCAAGCAATGCATTTAATCATTATAAAGAGAGTGACGGATACATAAATATGCAATTGGTATATTTTGTTAATTTAATTTCAATTTTAATTATCACAAATTTGCAGTAAATACTGTTTTAATATAAAGATGTTAGGTCTATTCTCTTATCAGTTTCAGTCAGATTTTACAATTTAATTTTATCAGATTTATCATTTTCAATTTAGCGCTGTATGGCTTACAAAGACAATTTAGTTCTAAATAGATTAGCTGATATAAGATAGTAAAGTTTATTCTCAATCAATTAAAATTTAAAGTAAAAATTTTTCAAGGCAATCAATAATTTAAAAAATATAAGTTGGACATTAAATATAACTGCTAAATATTTGGAAAAAATTGTATGTGATATTCGCAGTTTACCGTTACCATTGCAAAAAAAATTATCGAATTTAACAATGCTGATTAGTGATATTATCAGTCATGGTTATCAAATAACTGGGGTTAGCATTTTTCTCATATTATAATTCAAGTTGTATTATCTATTCATCCATATGTTTCAGTTATCTTTTATCACTTTTATCTGCCTACTAAATGTTATAATCATCACAGCTCCATCACTTTACATTACTTTCTTATCAGTTTACTTCAATCAATTTCAAATTTTTCATTTTATTAAAAAAAAAAAATTTCCTTTTCTTTTATTGTTCTTTTCTTTCAAAGCATTTTGCTTAATATTTATTATACTAATTAATTTTTGATCAAATTAAGCACTACAACAATGTACAACAAATGAATAATACATGGAATAGCCTCGATGATTTATTGTTTAACAGCAACGAAATGGTACTTATCATATTGCTTTCTAATTATTTCTTATCAAATTTCTACTGATAATAAGTTAATTAATTAATATTACTTGAAATACACACTTTTACTAAATTGTGTATGCATTAATCATTATTTTACTGATTAAATTATGAAAAAAGATAATGATCAATAAGTAATTCAGTAACTGATACTCTTTATCATTTATCATTTTGCCTTACTGATTGCAACAGATTCGAAAAAGAAAAAATTATTATCATTGCTGATGACTTGTTTACTTGTATTTGTAATTACCTTAGAAAGACATCTTGGAAAGCACCGATACATTAATCGATGATGCTGGAAAAGAAGCGATCAAAATGGTTGCAATAATTTATAATGGAAGTGTTAATATTATTAAATTCATCCAGAAGAGTAATCAGAAAGTGGACAATATTCATAAGCAATATATCGAAGTAAAAAAATTATTTCAATATATTTTTATAAATTTAAAAAAAAAAAAACAATAAACAATCTTAGATCTTTTTAAGAGTGTTATTTTATTTCATTTTTTTTTTTTTTTTTTTTAGAATTATGCCTAAATTTTATTCAGTAATACAAATGCTGAAATATTTTGTGATTTAATTTAATTTTAATTTTTGGATTATAATTAGTGAGTTAATTATAAAATTTATTTTAGTCTCGAGAATTTGATCAATTAGCAAATGTGTTATATGCTGTAATAGCGATATCTGCTTTATGTGTTATTACTCCTACTATTATTGTTGTATTTTCTGGAATAACAAAATTATATGCAAAGTAAATTTTCCATTTAATTTCTAATTAAATTATTTTATCTTATTCATTTAAAATATTAAATGCTGTGGAAATATCATTAATTTTTAGCAACTATTAAAGAAATGGTCATATGATTTTAATTATCAAAAAAAAAAAAAAAATTTTGGAATGCAAACATTACTTTTATTATTGGTTCATTATAATATAATTAAAGTTATAAATATGTTTTAAAAAAATGAATTATTCGATTTGTTTGGAAAAAATAAGTGTTTTTTGATAGCTCAAATCAATTCCAATATATTTTTTTTTATATTTTTAATGCACTAAATATTTTTTATTTTTTCTTTTCATTTTTTATCTTTTGAAAAATGAAAAGAAATAAAATAGCAAAGAATGAGAAATTATTACAAAAGCAATTTAAAATACAACGTTCTATTTCAAGAATTACTAAACTTACTTAAATTTACATTCATACACTAAAATATTTTTTAAAAAAATAATTTTAACGTTTACCTTCTAATTTCATTTTTTAATCTTAAAATTTCAGCAGTAAATCTTCATCAAAATGTTCAAAAGTTTTCTTCAATTCGGGGCGCTATTGTGGTCTATTCGCTCTTGCCGGAGCGTTCTTTACCGGATGGATTATAATGCTTGTTGCTAGGTAATTTCTTTGCTTTTTTTTTACAAAACTTTTAAATTTACAATTTAGTTTATTTTCAAGATTCTCTTCTATTAATCGTATCGTTATTCTTCCAGTTATTATGATCTTTGTTCTCTAATTGTTCAACCATTAATTAGTAGAATTAATAGAAAGTTTTTTTTTTTCTTTTTATTGAGGAAAATATAAATTTTAAAGAGCAAAAATGAAAAAATGCTCATTAATGCATCATCAGCTGCCTTTAATTTTTAGCATTTTTAATATTTTTTCATATTTGCTAATTTAAATTTATAAAAATATCTTTGAAATATCTTATAAATATCGCTTCGAATCTTTTTAAGCTTACTTAAATTTTGATTCATATTTTGAAAATCACTTTTTAAAAGATAATTTCAAGGCTTTTTCATTTCATTTTTTAATCTTAAAATTTCAACAATAAATCATCTTTCTTCTTCAAAAGTTAGAGACGCTATTATGTTCCCTTTTCATAAAGAGAGAAAATATTTTCTTAGCGAAACTTTTTTTTTTTTCAGTTTTCCGAATATTTCATTTTCAGTCTAAGTTTTATTTGTGGATACAGTATAGAAGCACTTTCTAATCCGTTATTTCGCGATTCTGAAATGCGTTTCTTCACCATATCACCGCTATTTCAATTTACTATACAAAATCCTATTGACAAGAAAAATTTCACGACAGATATTGGGTAATTATTGAATTGAAAAATTTTAGAATATGAAATATTAAATCTCGTGAAAAGCTAATTTGCAGGTATTTCTCGCAAAGAAATTCTCACAATAATTTTTCCGTTAATGATGAGACATTGATTAGTTGGAAAATTTTAAATATCAATCAAAGAATTTTGAATAAAATTAAATTTTAGCTGAAGAAAGTACACTTACTGTTAAATGTAAAAGATAGTATCAATTATTAATTTTTTTTTTTTTTATTATTTGAAAATTTTTCTAGAAATCTCAAATTTTGTATTTTTTTCTTATAAAATATGAAATATGTAATGAATTAGTTTCAGTAATATTATAAAGTATTGCAAAGAAAATGAAACCATTCTGTCGGCGTTAGAATTTGAAAGATTAATTAATATCGATGCAATTATAAAAAAAATAGATATTGAAGAAAAGGGAGAAAAAGCAATTGATGCACTTAAAAATGTAAATTTGAAGCAATATTTTCCAGAACAGGTTTTTAATGAATTTACGGTGAGTTGGCATTTTCATTCAATTTCTAAAATATTCTTTCTCATTCTCCCATTAAATTTTTCCATTAATATAAATTGGAAAGAAATGAAGTAGAATAAAAATGGCCAGCTTAATAAGTTATACAGTAAAGTAAATCACATAGTATTCTTACTAAAAACGGAATTATTTTTCGGATAACCAGTACGGAAATTTATTTATGATTAGAAATGGTCTTATCTTCCGGAAATGTTTCGTGGATAACAGATGTTATTAAACATAAAAATATTAAAATTATCATTTCAGGAAGATTTTGAACAGTTAGAGAATATGAATACTGAATTACATAATTTTATCATTTCGGATGATATTACAGCATTAAATGAATCACTACGTGATAATTTGAGTTATATGAATAAAAACATATCAAATTTAATCGAAGTTATGAAGTAAGCATAATTTCAAATCTTACTGATTAGTAAATGATAAGCTGAAGTGCTATTAGGAAGTATGATAAATAACCAACCATTACTGAATAGTTTTCTGGATTAAGTTTTTCTTTTCCTGTTTCTTTCATATATCACAGATTAGTAATACATCTGCCGAAAATCTACCGGAAAATTTGAATAATAATTGAAAGCAATCAATCTTTAAAAAAATGAATTTTTTCTTTTTGGTATTTCTCTGTAGCATTTTCTGCTTAACTTATTTATAAAACCATTCTGAGCTATTTTACTAATAGCATTTCTGACATTTTTTAAAATTATTCAATAATTTTAACTTAATTTTAACTTTGTTATTCATTTATTAATAAATAAGTTTTGCAAGGCTAAAAATTGGATGTAAAAGTTATTATTTTTACTTTCAACCATTAAAATTACTTAATTTTAGTTACACCGTTGTTATTACTCAGCAACTAATTGAACAATATTTATATTCGAATGAAATAATTAATGATAGTGCTCAAATAATTGAAAAAGAATGTAGTAATATAGTTGCTAATATCAAGGAATGTATTTATAATAGTACGGTAAGGTTTGTTTTTGTTTGAGAAATTTAACAAATTCGATAAGAAAACTATGAGAGAAGGAAACAACAACAACAACAAATGAATTTGAATTTAATTAGCATAAAAGTAAATAATAAATTAGATAAATATACAAAATAATTTCGTTGTAGAAATAGCAATGCAATAAAAATATGTTGAAAAAAGAGCAAAAAAAAAAAAAAAGTAAGCAAATATTTTAAGAAAGAATTTTAAATAAACCATTTCATCCTTTGATATCTTGAAATTTTTATAGGAATATTTTCGAAAAAATTCATATATCTGTCGTCCTTTTTATGATATTTGGGAAAATACCGGTTTAGCGGTGAGTCAAAAATTAAGTCGGCCAGTTCAAGGTGTTTGGATGTCAACTAGTGTCTTGTCGCTATCTTATGTTCCAGTTATTATTCTCACAACACTCATTATCAGATATCTTGCTAGGACGAATAGAAAATATGATTTTAAAGAAGTTAGTTTTCCTGTTACTTTCATTTTAAAATTTTATGAAATTCCTTTATCTGTAAAAAATTTGCTTTCCTTTATCAAATTATCATACACCTATGAATTATCACTTCCTATTGTAAAACTTAGTTGTTAAATTGAAATCTTAAGCTTTTAAAGTTTAAAATAAATTCTATTATATTTTCTATTGAATGTAAAATTTCAAATTATATGCATAAATTCTATATCTTAAATCCAAACATTGAAAAAAAAAAGAGTAAAATTTGCGCTATAAAAGACGAAGAATGAAATAGAAACAAACGAACCAATTAATTGCTATAAACTATTCTACAAATTGAAAAAGAAAAAAGATTTTCTTCAAAAAAAAAAATTTATTCTATCCAAATAATTATAAAATTCATAACATTTTTTTTTTCAAAAAAAAAAAAAAAAAAAAGAGAAAGCAAAAGAAATCTTCCAGAATTCATCCGAAAATGCTATCGCAATGAGTACAACAACAGATGCTTATCAATAAATGTTTAAAAGGTGTGAATTGATAATATTCCCAAATCTTATCATCTTTTTAGCAATAATTTGCATGCTTTATCTAATTGCATTACCTGTTACTTACTTACTTACTTACTTACCTATGTAAAAAGCATTCATTCCTGCACATGCATTTTCTTCTCTTTGCTATTCTCCTCAATTCCCTTCTACAATATTTTAGAGAAATTATAAGAAAAAATTAATTGATTAATCTATTTTAAAGTGTGAATTATTTTTTGTTTTTAGATTGCTACAAATGCATGCATAAAATTATAATTTATATTTTTCTGTAATAGTACAGAAGTCAACTACGATATGTTTCAAATATTTTATGAATTTTCTTCTTTTAAATCATTTTTTCCAAAATCTTTTAATTCAAATACTACAACATTTTATCTTTTTTCTTTATTTGTTTTTCATATTAAACAAGGAAAAAATAAGCACTCAATACGCGAAAATTTAGTTTTTTTCAATATTACATCCATCCAAATTCTCAATTTTAATAAAAAAATTTCCTCAAACTTTCAAAAGTTAAAGTCAAACATTTTTAGTTTAGTTTCAATCTTAATTTAATGTCACTAGTTTTTATGAGATATCAAATAGTTTACATTTTCTGTTTAACTGATTGAATTGATTTTACTAAATTATTATCTCAAAGAATATGAAGCAGAATTTGCATGAAAGAAATTTCATTGCTTTAATTGTTATCCAGCTCTTGGCAAAATTAATTTCTATCTTTTAGTGATCAAGAAGAAATGATATTTAACTGAATTTTTCAAAGGAAACTTTTCATATTTTAAACATTTATATTTTATTATTTCAAAACAAATTTTTATTAAAATAACAAAAACAATTATTAGTCAAATGTGATAACATTAATAATAATAATAATAATAATAATAATAATAATAATAATAATAATAATAATAATAATAATGATGATGATGATAATAATAATAATAATAATGATAATAATAATCATAAAGAATTTATTAATTTTTGGAAGAAATTTTTTACTTATTTTCCAATTTAACTAAACATAGCATTGCTATTTTATCTAAATAATTATTTCTTTGATAATTTTGCTAAATTTTTTACTAGAAATTCAACCTTACCAACATTCTCTTAACCTGCAGCAATCGAGAACTGACACATTCTATGGTACTATTTATGCTTACGATGCAAATTCAAGAAGTTCCACGTCTACTTTAATTTCCAATCGAAGTGCTAATAGCGGTAAAATATGGCGCAAATTATTTAGAGGAAAACAAATTGTCCCAGTGACCGAACAGTCGATGATGACTCATCCCAATATCTATGCTTACGATTTATGTGATAGATGAAGTGACGACGGTCAGTAATGAACTAATTTTCACATTTATCATTTTCACCTGTACACTTTTACCTTCCTTTGTTCCACCTTCTTACTTGCATGATATTTCAAACAAACAAACAAATATTGTGGTTTTCATTATGAAATACTTCCTTTGTTGACAATAAAATTCACAGGTAATAATTAACCTTTGTCATGATATTCATTTATATAGCATCACATATTGTCACCCTCTTTCTTTTTGTTTTGCTTTTTTGCTTTGTGCTATTTTCCAAAAATTCTTATTGGTTTGACATACACATACACACATCATTAAGTTTGAAGTATTTTACGTTTTCAAATCTTAATTCTACAATGATTTTAAAATATTTAAACCATTAACCATTCAATAATTTTTTTTATCAATTGTTTTGCTGGGATTTCAGTTGTTTGCAAGATTTTTTCTTTTTTTTGCTATATCTAATGATGTAATTGGATTCGAGCGCAGTTTTTAAAAGATACTTTTCGGCACAGTCATATCATTCATTATCACCGCAACAATTCTCATTACGTCTTATGATAGTATATTAATGATAATGATGATAATGATAACGTTAATAACAACAATGATTGATGATACTTGATGAGGACCAGTGATGGATAAATGTAAATGATTTTTCAGTTTACTCAATCTCGACAGTGTTGTTTTCATTATCGATGATCAAATCTCCAGGTTATTACGAGATGCAATGTTATCTCAGATTATTTTATCATACTCACATTAATATGATAATATATCTCTGTTGAGACTCAGTAAACTGATTTAAGTATTTATTAAAAAATAGTTATTAGATGTTTTGTTTTGGTTATTCAATATTGCTTCAAAACAGTATTTAAATCTATGCAAGATGGATTTTTTCTTTTGATTGTTACAATCAAATATTTTTTTCAAATGTTTATTTGATTTATTATTTTGTATAAATAATGGCTATATACTGTACCTGAAATTTTCCACGTCTTTTATACTTTAATTTATACTCAATCTTTATTAGTTACAAAGAGATTGGGAATAAACCATGAAATTAGTCTTTTTATTTTTTATTATTTCTGCATCCTTTTTAGGCAGTTATCCTTTATCATTTATAATGAAATCACATGAGCAAGAGATAGAGTATATCTGAACTACAATCTATTACTTAACTATATCATTGAAAAATTTGTGTAATTGTAATGACCCTGTATTATCAACATTATTATGTTAAAATATTGCTTAAATGTCATATAATATTCAAATTAGACAAATCTTGCATCAGTAGAATTGATGATTAGTAAAGAAACCTCCTTCCTTTGTTTTTATTTATCTATTTCTCTGCACTATATCATTGTATTTTAAACATTATATGCTGTAAATATGTTGGGAACATCTATGCAAACAAAATATCTATGCAAACATTTCTGTAACATTTTTATTGAATAAGAAATTAGCTTCTCAGTGTTTTATTGTATCAACGATTTATCGCTTCAAATATTCCAACTACAATAACTATTTCATCTAATGTATTATTTGTTCAATAAACTGACTGTATTATTATGTAGCGATGAAAACTAAACTATTGCCTTAGCAAACGTTGGGATGAAATCTTTACAAGAGTGAGGATTAACGGACAAGATGGAGTGAACAATTTATAACATTCTGAAATGCAATCATTCACTACCGAAGCACCATACTTTTTTTCTTTGTATTTTAACTCTTTTACATTCGTAAAAAGATCAATTTTATTTCGAAATATTAAACAACACAACAAAGAAGTCAAATTTTTAAAGTTTTCAAAGAGAAAACAAAGGCATTTTGCAAATGTAATCAAATGAAAGTCCTTTAAAAAATACATTATCATTCCCACAATTTTCTCATTTTGCTGAATGCATTTTCAAAGTTTGTTAAATTTTAAAATATGTCGGAGAACTCACAAATTATCAACATATTTCGCAAAAAATTCAAAAAGATATATGATGTGAGGTAATAATGGACTTCAGTCTATAAAATGATAGATCAAGCCAAAAGGAGGTAGAAAATTGACCAAATTCCATGCTAGATGTTCTTGAACAAATTTCACAGAACACCGCATAGCTTTGCTAATTGCTTTATCCAAAAGGTTCTAAAACGCTTCCCTGTAGTCTGAAAGCTTCAACGGAATATTTGCGAAACAAAGGAAATCCACCTCAAATCATGAACTAAGGACAATTTTCTGCCTATTTATTGGCATTTCCATGCCCTCATTAAGTAACTTATTATGCTTATAAGTAACAACCTTGAGATCATATGGTTTAATTGTGTCACTACCAACAAACGTAAAATTAATTTTTAAAAACTGAACTGCATGAGAGTTAGGAAAAAGATATATGTAAAAAGAGAGAAAAAGAATTCAACGAAGAGCAGTGATTAGTTATTTTAGCGCTGCCTTCGACGTCTCCCAGCGCGACGCGGTCGATCACCGTTCAACGGGTTCCTATCCGGTGGACGATAGGATGCTTGCTGTGATGCTGTAGCCGGAGCACCGTAACCAAGCGATATCGAGCAAGTACAACTATCATTGTCCGGTGCTCCTCGATTATAACAGCACAAGTCATCGTACTCATGTCTTCCCTGTCTGCAAACTACTAAGAATAAGATATGAAACAATAAAAACAAACAAGATGCAACGATTTCTGTTACATCCTCGGTGCAATTGCATGACAACCTTATAACAGAATAAGTAGTGAACGGTAGAATCATTTTGTCTTCCTCATTATGAGCATTTGAAGCTTAATTATTGCTATCCATTAGCGGAGCTAATTTTCATCTTTATCTCAGTCAATTTAGCACGTAGTGTCACATTTCCCATTCTCTAAAAATCTACAGAATATTTATATAGCGTTGTTCTTGAATCTGACCGACATCTATTGCTCTCTCGTTCGAAGTATTAAGTTTGAAAACTTGAAAGAAATATACCCAGTTTTAGTCTGTCTCGACGGGTTTTTATTTATTGATGGCCCGGTCGTTGTCACTAAACGATATTGCACCAAATGACTGTTAGCTTTCATATGTTTCAAGTGATTACTCTGAAAGAGAATGTCATAAAGATAACACAATACACCATTTAAATTATCAGAATTGTTGCAAATCGATCTTTAGATCAATAAATAAAAGTCATGGCTGCTCTAGATCTTCTATTGAACTAGACTTTCTACTCCACTCAGCATAACCATTATTAAAAAGTCGTCATAACCAAAAAAAAAAAAAAAAAACTTATTCAAGTTTTTAAGAAAATATTTGGGACAAAAATTCCTTGTTTATTTGACATTTAAGAGTTAAAGAATTGAAAAAAGGAATACCGGACAAGTAGCCCACTGAGTAATATCATAGATTACGCCATCCAAACATGCATAATAGATCCAAATAAAGCCACCGAAACGAGTTTCTGCCCAAATATCATTCTGAAATATGATATTTTATAAACATGATGACCCTACACATATTCTCAGAAACAAACACAAATAATAACCAGAGCTATAAACATGATGGGCCATATCTAAGGTTCCATATTTTGGTGAGTGCACTTCAGCACAATCATACAGTTAAAAACGGTATCATGTTACAACTTGCTTTGATTTACCCATCAATCATTTGAGATATATATAAATCAAAAGATACAGGAAACCATACATGTTTAGCAGGATGACGAAGTTTACATTTCTTACAGTATCGAGCTTCTGAAGCTCGAATACTTTCTAGTGGTATACGTGTATGCTTATTACCACAGTCGCAGTACATAGCATTCCGCGCCTCATTCATCTTTTCACGTAAACGCTCCCATAATTCTTCCATTTCCTTGTGCTGTAAAAGATCAAAAAATCTTAAAACATAATTCCAAAACATGTCGTTTAAAAAAATTAACAACAATTTCTAATAATTTCTGTTTGCAGCAAAATGATATAGTTTGTTTGCATTGAATTATGTGACTGATTTCAGGATAAAAAAAATTTATTTTGTAATTTATTTTTGTAAACCTTAAACAAATGGCGCAATAAGATAAATTTTTTTTATCTACCTAAGCCAAACAAGATGTTCAGAAAAACCATTCTTAACATAATATAGTAATACAAATAGCAATATATATATATATATATATTGACAATACATCTTTACCAGCGGATTTTTATGTAAATTAGCAATATTATATTTGTTCCGAACATCTGGTGTACCAATTGCATCGAAAGCTCTCGAAAGAATCTTGAAAGCTTCATCTGCTCCACTTAAACGGTTCTGTAAAAATCATCAATTATCTAATACAAATTTCTAGTAAACACTAAAAATAATATCGATCTAATTATCATAAATATGAAATATCACCACACTCTAGCTAAATCGAATTTAACAAATATGCACCACATTGAATTTGTAGATGCATTTCACTTATATGTGAAATGCTTACATGTATATGTAGATATGCGAATTAAAAATAAAACCTTATCAGGATGCACTAGAACGGCTTGCTTTTTATAATATCGCTTAATATCATCATCTTTACAGTCAGCCCTTAAACCTAGCACCATATATGCATCACGCCCACGACATTTCAAAATCCGTTCCATTGCTTCTTCGCCTTAAAATAGTTGCTAAATAATATAAATAGAAGAAATGGTTAAAAAATTTTTCAAAATGGTAAAAAAAATTTCCAACAATACTACATTTTTGATTTATTATCAAAAATGTCAAAGATATATATAGGAAACTAAGCAAACTTAAAGAAAATGTTAGGATGACAACTGTCGAAATGCAATCATGACTTTAACAAAAAACAAAAACTACAAAATGAACCTGTTACCGGCAACTGAATATTTTCATTTAGACCCCACTCGACAACTTTTTTCTTATTCGTCCACATTCTTTTTACGTTGAACAAACGAATATTTTCCCAGCATTTTCTGTTCAAAAAATTACGAATATAAATCTGTCTGAACTAATAAGTTATTTTAAATTTAAAACTTACATTAGAATATAAATATATAAATACCTAATCATTTACTTAAAAGATTTCTACGTCTTTGTAGTGTGTTCTAAGGACCATCCATCTCGTAAATACATAAAAATCTGAAACGAAGCTATGAGTTTAAAATCAGTTACTTATGATCACTGATAATCAAGCTCATTACTCATTATTTAAATTCAAATAAAAGTAATCTTAACAAAATAATGAAACGCAAACAACGAATCTATATGCAAAAAATTACCTCTGAGCATCCAACATGGAATACCAGCATAGTTGGATGTTGAGAACAATACTAGTGTAACCAGCGATAATTCTTAAACATAAATTTTAAGTTAGTGCTAATTTATAAAAAAATTTGTGATTTTTCAAAAACCTGAAATTGTTTTTCATTCATTTCTTGCATCCTTCCTCCACCCTCTTTCTCTCTGCAAGACGTGTGCTATTAAAAAGTACAAAATAAATAGAGCACAACTGAGCATGATTAAATTGTTTTAATCTCTTAAATATAAATGCTCAGTTTAAAGAACTCTTCATCTGAGTTTTAAATTGGCTTCACTATAAAATGTTTTCTAATAGCTACTCTCTGAATAATCCACTGCTAAATCTTTTTAACTCATTAAAAAAAAATTATGTAATGATGACTATATAAAAATTCCTTTTCTTACAGTGCAACTTTTATTAATGAGTTATTACATACGTATAAAGAGTGATATCCAACAGCTGCAACGATATATCTGACAAAAGATCCATAATCCATTGAAAAGCATGTTTGATGATAGAAAATACAAGCGCTATCATTATATCTAAAATTTCGTATAGAAACGATATGAAATTATGAATTAACACAAGGTAAAATTTTGAAAAGGGAGGAGAAATGTATGTGATAAAACTCAAAACATAAATTCAAAACGTACTTATATAGTCTGCTATGCTGTTTTGACGCTTTCTAATAGAATTACGCTGTTTTCGGCCGCATCTCGCAGAATCAATCAATGACTGTGTATTCAGATCACGACGAGCGCCAATCATTTTTTTGAATACTGAGAAAAAACTATTATTAGATTCTTTTCTTTCCATATAAATTATTATGCACATTCTGCACAACAGCTTGAAGGTTTACTATAAAAAAAATGACAAAACAAAACAAATGAATTTAGATATAGTAATCCTTAGATATAGTAAAAAAAATTTAGATATAAAAAAAAAAAAAAAAAAGTACGAAGCTATTTTTTCCAATTCAGAAATGATCACCAAATTTTCCTACGAAGCCATATACAATGAAAATTGACAAGACCAGTGAAAACAAAAATATAATCTACCATTACGCTGAGCTGAAGAGAAGCCTGAAGATTTAATTCCATTTTGACTGAATTCCTTAGTTTTAGTCTCAGTTAGTGTGCTGCTGTCTTTATCAATCTTTTCTGTATTTTCTGCAAATTAGTATTAAGCATAAATGTAACGCAGTCCAAATTATCTGTTCATCCATATCACTGTCAAAAAGTGTTTCAAGTATATAATTAGCTGACAAAGAAATGAAAACTAGCTAATAATAATGATATTCAAAGTAAACATCAGTGATTTGTACTTATAGTTCTATATTTATGATTTATAATTTTTAATTTCAGTAACAAAAGAAAAGTCAAGAGTTGGTCCGTAATTCTAATCAGTACTGAGAAAATCTTGCTATTTATTACCTAAATTTTCATCAACATTTTCTAAGAGAAAAATGGTTAAGCATGTGTTTACCAATTTCCCGCTTTCCTCTCATGCAACCCAGCACAACAACCATAATCAGAACTAATTAAGCTACATTAAAAGTTACGTTTTGATAATGGAAATAACAGTGTAAAAAAAACACATCCAGTGAAACATCACCAATTTTTGGTTTTGTTGCAGTTACATCCACCGATGATTCGTGATGAACAACCACTGATGACAAAGATCGACGCGTGACGCGACGTAGAACTGTATTTGTAGCTTGTGTTCCAAGAGACTGTAAAACATCAAAACGACTGGAAGCATCCACAGCCTGATTACCGGCTAGCCCTACAATGATCACGCAACCGCTGGTATGTTTATAAAATGAACTTATCCGATATCTAGGAATAAATGATGAGAATCAGCAAATTTTATTCAAATACGGGTGACTGAAGCCATCAGATATTCAGAAATTACTTACCCAAAAATATTCTTATTAAACCCCGATATAATGTTCAACCTACTATTAAAAATAGAAGGATTTTCCTATGTTTTGAGATATCATTATGCAAATTTACTATTTTAAGTAAGTCATTTATTAAACAATTATTAGTAATAAACTAATATTAACGAATATACTATTAACAGATAAGACCCATACGACTGCATTGATGAAGAGCTCACCATCTTCATCAGTGATCACTTGATCATTTTTGTTGCTTTTGACACCTTTGTTTTTCTTATGAGTGATTTTTTGGAATTCATAATCAGCCTTTTTCTTCATACGATCACATCCTGTTAATAAATTTAAATTATTCTTGAACACACTTAATTCCTCTCGTTGAATAATAATTATACCTTTCTTAGTCGCAACTTTGTTTTTGAGATGGACAGTTCCTTCATTCGGTTCGTTGTAAACATCACTCACGGTACAAGACGATACCACAACTGAGGTTTCATCAATCGATTGGTGATTACTATTGGTGGCGTGTGCTGATGCTATACTTTTTGAAGTTTGATTATCATCATCCTTTCCTCCTAAATTAATTATATGAACAAAAATGCACCACCAATTCTGATTTCATTGAATACTGGCTAAGTTCTGCTTACTGCAACAACTAATAAAAATATAATTATAAGACATCTGTCTTGTAAAAGACATCATTAAATAACTTCATATGACAGGTACATAGGATAGAATAGTCAATCTTTTAAACCTCGAGTGACATTAAGATATTTTAATACCTGAAAAAACAGATGAAGTATGACGTACAGACGCTGGTGGACTTGATACAAAAGAGGAAAGTGCTGAACTTGACACAACATGCTCTTTCTTGGAAGCAGCGTCGCGATAGCTTTTACTCAGTGGTAGAACCACACTTTTAGCTGCTTCCGGTAAAAACAAGCTTGAAGAAACATCTTCTCTGAAATTATGCTCATTAAGTTGAGGAATTATAATATGATTGAAACTAAAAATAAGTGAAAAGTTCATAGAGGTTAATAAATATTTCTTTATACTGCGCATATTCATGATTATGGTTGAATTATCAGAAAACTTTCCGTTATTAGGAAACTTTCTTTTACATCCACAGAGAAAGTTAGCAGAGAATTCAGCAATACAGAAATTAGAACTGTACAAATCATATTCCACGGATACAAATGAAAAATTTACTTACATCGAACTACTTGTTGTCTTTTTAATCCCCTTCGGTGGTACATGTTGTGGTAAGTATGAATCAATATGCACTACGCCACTTTCACCGACGTTAGAATAAACACGTGGTGGAGGAGTTGCAAAAATTCGTGGATCAACTGGAGAATTCCCAAGATGCTGCTGGTGATGTCGGTACATATTTTGATAATGATGTTGTTGCATTTTATCCAAAGTACTATTGGGTGCCATAAGTGACTTCAAAATCTGCAAAAAGGCTGTAATTTCAGCCCTCACATAAATTTATGATTGGAAACAAATTGATAAAACAGCGAGAAATAATGCCACTTGATAAAAGATTTGAATAAATTTCAGGCATAACCGAGCGATTTCAAAATACATGAAAGTAATAAAAAAAATTACAAGGAACCATACCGATACCGTTCGGTGAGAAGAATATGGCATTCCAGTCGACATGTATGCATCCATAGTTGCACTTGGTACATTATCCCACTCGTCATGCTTAACAAACTGATACGAAAAGTTAACCAGAAAGAATGTTAACACTCTTAAAAATAACTTAACACTTGAAAACATACTATATAATTCAATCAATCGCTTTCACATATGAAAATCAAAAATTCTGGAAATTAGCGACTTCAAAATAGATGAAAAATGAACCCTTCCAAAAGATGATTGATAAAAATCAGTGCGCGTTACAGCTGTTGCAGTGGGTGTTTGGCCATAAGGTACGGCAACTGGTGGTGGAGCCAATAGTCCAGCACTTTGACCAGATGATGTCCAGTGTGGTGAGCCAATAGAACATGGACTATACGGCGGTGGTGGTTCTGGCCAGAAGGTGCGGTTTGGAGTCGGGCCAATTGGACCGGAACTTGGTAATACATTTCCGGATGGTACACTACCGCTTCCACTTGTTTCTGGAAAACCAAATATTCAGAAACAGGAACACTGGAATCATAACTGCAAATCAGTAGCTAAAACGTTCAATTCAAAAATGATAAGAATTTGAAATGTCAGTCTTATTTCTACTTTACTACGATGCAGTGTACTTCCCAGAATACAAGCTTTTTTTTTTATTTGAACTTTGACAGAAGGTTATGAAATCAATTAAAAGAGGTCACAGAAGTATATATATCACAAGGTCAAAAATTTGTGAAATTTGAAAAAGAAAACAAAAAAGATTCCAAACGCTGTAAGATTTAAATTTTCCAATTTCGGCAAATCTCTTGTTAACAATAGCAATCCAATCCAAAACAACATACCAATAGTGTGACCATTTGTCTGCCCAAAAACATCCTCTTCACATAAGAGATTACCAATATAGTGGCGTTCCTGTTGATCGTCTAAAGTGGATGTCATATTTGCCATTTCTTCAGCTTAAGTTATAGATTTTCAGTACTGCACTATTACACATTACACTTCAACCAGAATTATTGTTTGTAGTGCACTCTTGTAGAATAAATTTATGCTGCAAATTGTTAACCAAAATCATAATTGAAATTAATCCAACGAAACAGTCAGTATGTTAAATTCATTTTTTTTTTTTTTTCTGATTACACGATGACTAATTAATTACGAACCGACACACGAATTATTTCCCAATTCGTTGCGATGAAGGAAAACGGGACAAAAAAAAAAAAAAAATCTTACATGATAAATATGATGAAATGAAATGACCAGAAGAATTGTTTCAATAGACATTTCAATTTAAAACATTATACATTAGCTTTTCTATTTCAACAGATCTATTCTAACGAAAAAGTGAAACAAACTTTCACACAAAATAAACTATCCTATCCTGATTATAAACAAGAATACATCAGTCATATGTTAGCTTCATCCAATGCAAAAAGCATAAACATCGTGCAAACATAAGAAATTAAATCACAGAAAATTATTGATTTGCGTTACCAATTTCTGCTATAGTTAGCCGTAAATAGCTTTATATATTCTTATTAATCCATTACAATGCGCTACTTCTTATGTTTCCTATCGCTTTCTACCGTCTCCTCAATTAGAACATCTCTCGAGACACATCCCAATCATTTGTCACTTCGAGAACAGTTCTTCCCACAAATATTCTCAATCTTTATCATCTCTCTGATAAGCTATCATTTCTGAACTGTCTTCATCTCTATAATGTAATTTCCACTCTTCGTTCGTCTTGTTAAATGCATAATGTATCTAACGTAAATGCTTTCTGCTGTAAACAGTTGTGAGCTTATCGAAATGAAAGGAATGTGTGAAACTGACAACTGAGATGTTCTGATAAGAGGGAAATGAGAATGGGAAATGATACTATCAATATAAAAGCATCTTAGTGGTATCACGGTGTTTTTATACCTACATACTAACCTTAACACTATCACATAGTACCATTCAAATTTCTTTTTAGTACCAATAAAGGTCATTTGAATGGTACTTCCACAAGACATTTAGTACAAATCGATTATGCTTACCTTCTTTAAGACAAATGCACAAAATGGTAAATAAAAGCAAATTGCTCACAAATTGCTACTTAAACAAGAGAGAAGACTTGCTAATATTCCTTTCCTATCTCATCCATACAAATTCCCTCTCTTTCTCCATCTATCATACATTTCTGAATGTATTCCGTATCTTTAAATCCGAAAATTTGGTAATTAACTAAGAGTTTAAATCATATCAAAGTCTTTCATTTTTTTTTTTCCACTTGTTAACGAACTTTTTAATTCTGTAATCTGTCTCTGATTTTCATCTAAATTAAATCGAACCAAAAGTCATTTGAAGTTTAATTTTAACCCAACTTTTTGATTAGATTATCCAAACGATGTGATCTTCAAATAATTATTCATTCAATGAATAGCCTCCTCCTAATTATGGGTACATTATAAAATCGTAAAGTTATAAAATGCTATATTAAATAATCCTATATTATCCAAAATTTGATTATCTTGCAATCAAATGCACTGATATCATCAGAATGGATCAGTTACTAATAATGAATTTGCCTTGCTAAATGTAAAAACCTTTCATTTTTCTTTTTCTTTTCTTTGCTATCAAGAAGTCATTTTAGCAATAATTTGGTAATTTCTAACCAAACAAAAAAGCTTTCTGTTATTGTCTACTTAAAGTGAAAAGAAATGACTAAGAGTGAGATGATAGTTGATTTCAAATGAAAAATTAAAGGGCGGATGGATTTCGAAATTTAGGGAGCAAGAGAAGTTAAACTGAATACGTGTATACACATACACATACACATACATACACATACACATACATACACATACACATACATACACATACACATACATACACATACACATACATACGTATACACATACACATACACATACATACACATACACACGTATACACATACACATACACACACATACATACATACATTCAATGGTGGTAATGAAGAATTGGATTTGATACAATATGTGCAATTTGAACGGACGGACAGGCGGTGAAAGAGTAACCGGACTGAGGATGGCTTTCGGTTTCGGTGTCTCTCAGTCTCGCTCTCTCTCTCTGCCCTCTCTCTCTGTGTCTCCGTCCCTGTCTGTGCAGTAGTATGAAATCTATTATTCTGTCAATGATTTCGGTTTGGTATGGTTCCGGTGAGAAGAGACGGAAAGAATGAAGAAATATGAGTGTGAATGAGAGGAAAGAGAAAAAAGGAAGAAAGAAAGAAATAATGAAGGCCAAATGCTTCAGTCAATTTTGCGGTAAACAGAAAGATTTCTTGTGAAGAATGCGGGGAGAGAAAAGGGTATGAATTTGGGGTACTTTAAGGGAATAAAACTGGGAAAATTTGCAATATTTGAAAGGTTAATTGATCAAGTGATAACAGTGATATGATAATAGTGATAACGATGTGATAGTGATAGTTTGTTTATATGGGAGATGAATGAATGTTATATGACATGTTGAAGTGAGTGGTAGAATAAGAGAGTGAAGGAAATGGAGGAGAAGGAAGATGGACGGACTGATTGAGGATGAGTAGAGATAGGTACAAGGAATATATTTGAAACTGAACGGATCAACGAGTGGGATAATTTTGTTTAGCCGAATATCGATCGATATCGATTCTATGTTAATGTGAGAATGGTTGGATCGGTATGATCAGTTGATATTAATTCACTTATTACAGTAATTAAATGATAGTATTAAATTAAATATTAAATTCAAGTATTAATTTAAAATGAAATGATAGTATTAATTAATCAATAATTTTACTAAGATTAAATTATAACTTTTTCTCTTTTCTCTTAACACTGTTTTATGTTTAAATTATGCTATATGTTAGCTTAATTTTTTTTTTTGATGAGTGACTCATTTTAAATGTTTAATTAATTGTTCGTGTTGAAAATTTTCTTGCATGAATGCATCATCGATCAAATTGAGATGAAATTAGAAGTAATGATCAAAAAACACAAAAGACCAAAAGTCTTGGGATTATAAAATGGAGGAAAAACAGAAGGAAGGAAGGAAGGAAGGAAAGATTAAGCCGATAATTGTTTAGCATTTGTTAGTAACGAAGGCATATTAATTTAACCATATTTGATTCTTTTTTTTGGTCTTTTCAATATTTCACAAAAAATTAACTTACATTATTATCCATTATGATTTCTATAACTTTAAGAATTCATCTGCTATAATTGAAATGGAATTTTCTCTTTTTGTTTCCAAAATTTTTTCATTACCCTAATGAAATTACTGCTTCATTCATTAATTAATTTGCTTTTCTATCACTCATTAAACAAACGTTACAATATTATCAAATTTATCAAACTGAAATAAAAGACCATCTTTAATGCTATATTTAGTGTTATCATTTTGAAATATTTATGAGATAATCAGTTCATCCACTTTTCGATCATTTTGAAGTTATCATTAGCAAAGCAATGCAACCAGCAATTGTTTCCATCAAATGTTCTGTTTCAGTTTGCTTTTACCTAACCAAAGCTAAAGTTAAGCTAAGATTGTTATTTGTTGTCTCAATGATACTAAATTGTATCGACTTACTTTCATCTTCCAGTATTAATCAGAATAAATTTACTATTGTTGTAAAGGAAGAATTGTAATTATTTCAGGAAAAAAAAAAAAAAAAAATAAAAACCATCTATAAAAAATGAAAAAGATTGTAAGCCATTGATTTATGCAAATTTAATGGTATGACTAAACTTCTTGAAGCTCTATCCTAAAAGAATTAGTTAATCTGTCGTCTTTTCATGCTCCAAGTTGCTAGTTTGAAAGCACAAAGCACAAAAATTGTTGATATGCTTAATTTGAATAAACAATAAGAATACTTTAAATTTTTTACTTCCTTTTCAATTTTTGCTTTTGTGGAATATTGTAGTACCACATTTCATCCTTTAACTTTACTGTCTATCATTAATTGGCGATAAATGAAATATTGAAGGAAATGATAAATACTACTCAACCATATGTATTTGCAAAATTTGAATACTATTTATAAATTATGCATAAGTTTGACAAACAGTTCAGATGAAGCATATCACAAAATCATAGAGTTCAGTTGAGGATGCCACAAGAACTGTAAACAAATTCATTTTGTGTTGAAGTGCGATGGTAGTTCATTGAAAGTGAACCATAAATATATTGCCAATATGTAAACAAACTTATCTTTACAACATAAATTGCTATTCTCATCAAATACAAAAATAAAAATATTTGAGAAATAAAAAGGATTTAACAGATGGAACATTGATTTACTTTGATTTCTTTTGATTCATTAATTTCTTAAATATTCCAATGGAATCAATCATGTAATTTGCATCCAATTTTCAGTATTTGAAAAAAAAATTATTGATTTGCAGAGCAGAAAAGTGAGTTGACAGAAAATTGAAATGATAAAGTTGATTGTTAATGATATCTTTTGAAAGTAATTGATATCTGTGTCTTTGATTAATCAATCATGTTCGAAACAGATCATCATCATCATTCACAGTATTTTGATAAATCATTGAGAAATCTAGTTCTATATTTGAATGCTAAAAGTGAAAGTTGAATTTGTCGTGATGACTTGTCACAACGATTCCTAAATAATAAATGAAAAAATTTAATTATATTTTCCTTAATTGTTAAATATCGCAACTAATTCTGCAAAGTTATACCATTAACCATTGAACAGCTATGCCAAGAAAATATCTAAATGCTAATTAATATATGTAAAACGATCGGTAATCGGTAAAGAGAAAAAGTGAGGTAGCTATTATATTGAAATATTTTTAATTTTTAAATGATTATTAAAAAAAAAAAAAGGAAAAAGAAAAACGAAATTACTAGGATTAGCAAAGGATTTTAGTATGTGAGATAATAAATGAAAAAAAATTTGCAAATGAAATTAGATAGATTGTAATCGGAAATTAAAAACCACAAAAAGATTAATGAATAAAATATTCTCTTTAGGCCTTGGCAGAAGAATTGAAAACAGAAAAAAATTTTTCAGAATGGAAATAAAATTTTATAATTTTTGATAATAATTCAATGACCTCATATAATATATATTAAATTTGAAATCATTTGTGAAATTCGATAGGAAATTGCAATCATTATTGAATAATTCTTGATGTATAGGAAAAAAAAAAGTGTTTGATCAAAGTAATAATGTCACAGTGGCGCCCATTTACGTTATTCTCAATTATTTCCTATTCCCATTTAATTACAATATCTATGTGATTTGTGTATGGAAAATTTTTTAACAACTAATTAATAATTCATTTACAACTATTAGTGATAATAATTTATCATTCTCGCAATTAATTAATGATTAGCCGCGGTAAACTAGTTGAAAAATTAATTAATTGTATATGTAAAATGTATTCAAATGCAATTTTACACTTTTATTATTTATAAATATATTAATTTCTATTAATTTATTTAATTTCATATTCAAATGCATTCAGAATGATATTACATAATCTTTTTTTTTTTCACATAATTACATTTTTTATTTTAATTACATAATTACTACATTGATGACACTGTTATGATTCAGATATATATGTTCCCAGATTCGTTATCATGAATTGATCTTGTATGAATAATTTTATCATTATTGTTATCATATCACTGATAATGTTTGCACATAATAACTGAATCAATTATGTAAATATTAGTGCAATTATTGGAAAAAAAAAGTTTTTAACATTAAATGCATTATTCAAGTAAGTCATTGTTAAGTCTTTTTGTTGTGAAGAACGGTGAATTTGATTAATTCATGGAATATGCCCAAAAGGTTAGCTATCTTTTGTTATCAGATTAAAAATTATTGATAACAGTTTAGGAAAAATCCTTTATGACTTCAAATATAATAATTAAAAATGTTCCCTTTTACACAATACAATTTTATTTTTTTATCAAATTTTTTTATTAAATTCCACTTCATTAAATGAATTTAGATTATATAATTGATTTTTTTGTGCAATAACCTAAATAAAAGATTGCGGAAAAAAAATCAAAATTTAAGATTAAGTATTATAATATTAATATAATATTTAATCTTATATAAGAGATTAATAAAAGAAAAGACTGTTCCTTTCATAGTTCACAGTTCAAACTAAACTGGCATTTTTATATAAAACTTAATTTAAACAACAAATCGAACTTTTCTTCCTATCTTCTTAGAAATAATCCTTCTTATGATAAAAAAAATTGATAATGATAAACATGATAATGATATGTGTATATGCGTCATATTTTATTCAGCAGTATATTTGATCGTATGCTTCAAAAACTTAAAATTCAACGTTCTCGTGACACAAAATATCCACCTGAACTTGTTTCAATGGTATTTTTTATATTCGATACTTTTATTTCTTTAATCATAACCATTTTCTAATAAATATTTATTCTAAATTAAAATTTGAAAAAGTGAAACGAAAGTTTATTTTATTCATCTTTCTTTTTTCTTTTGCTTTTTTGTTTGCTAGCTTATATTTTGTTTATCAAATACGACATTAACAAAAATCGATCGATTTTTTCTTAATCAATCAATAATCCATCTTTTAGCATAATTACATATTTTAGCTTTTCTTTTCGCTATATTTTAGATGGAATTGCTACCAACGATGCATGATGTCGCGGATGAGTTGATGACATGCTCGGATGCAATCTCGCGACGATTTCAACTTAAAGATGAGACAACGACTGCAAGCGAGAAACTTGCTTTATCAATCAAACTACTAACTCCAAAAGTTGCTGAACATAAGGAGGTAACAATTTAACGTTTACCTAATCAAAAATTTCAATTGCATCAAAATAATTATGTTCAAAAAAAAAAAAATTAATTAATTGGAGTAAGTAATTGCAAATTGATATGTCAGCTATATGATAAAAACTTGAAATTCAAAAACAACATTTTATCCTACATTTATAGATTCATTACAAAAAAGAATTAATTTATCAATTACTGTCGTGAAACCTCAAACTTGGGTAATTAAACCTTTATTTAACATGAAGCAAATAATAGCGCTTTATACATATCGTACGGATGCTACACCGTTTAACAAACGCGTAAACTATAAAAAATGCAATAATATAAAAATGGTGAAATAACACAAAATTATAAAGCATTAGACGCATCCCAATACCACCCAAAACATAAAGCAAATGATGGTTATGGAAGGATTGGTTGGGTTATATATAAGACTGATTTAACGAATGGAGATTAGATGGGAGGATTTCTCATGGATGAACAAAGAAGATTGTTAACAAGATTAGTTTATATACAGAACTGAACTGACCAGATATTCGGCAGAGGAGGACATTTAAATGATATGAAACAAAGACTGCTAATAAAGGGTTCTGCTAACGAAGGGTTTGCTAACAAAGGGTTTTTGTTGTGTGAGGAAAAGGAATTAGATAAGAGGAATTTGTTAGTTTTGGATATAATAATTTAAATATTTCGTCTTTCACGACAATTACTAAACATTAACTTTTTGTCTGTCCACTTGATAAGCTATTAATTAGTAGTGGAATAGTAGGTATGAATTAATTAAGGTTATCTGATTACAGATTAATTCGTAATTGACTATTAATTCCATTTATTTTTTTTTAATTGACTGATAATTATTTCTTGCAGTATGCAAATTTTTTAAAAGCTCAAAGTGAAATGTATGATATAATCGGTAATATGCAACGCACAATGTATACTGAAATTCAGGATCGGGTATGAATGAGATTTAAAATTGATGTAAATAAATATGAAAATTCCCTCATTCACTTTAAAAAAATGAAAAAAAAATTTCTTAGTAAATCATATTTTATTCATTAAATTATCTCAGTTGGCAAAACTATCTAAATTTCAATTTTTATAAATTCTTTTTGAAATTTAATTTTTTTTTTTTCAACTAAAGATATTAATTAATTACCTATCAAATATTTTGATACATGAAATTATTGAGGTGACAAATCAACTGAAAACTTGGGTTCTATCTGATTATCAACGTATTATAAATTCAATTGAACTATTAAAAGAGAAACGATATCAAATGGATATTGTAACGATGGAAGTTGAAAAGATTGGCTCAAAGTAAGTGTTTGCATTCAAAAAATGAAAATGAATTTTATAATTAATTAAAAAATATTTCAATCAATGATCATAAAGCATTGTTAGAAGAAATGATTCGATGGATAATTGCAATTTGTGATAAATTCAATCAAATTATTTTAAACTTTTATCATTTGTAACACTTTTCAAGAGTATTTCAGAGATGAAAAGACGGAAACAGCTCAAAGCTTTAAGGTGGAACAATCTCGAAAAGATTATGAGATGCAATTAGCTTTGGTTAAAGTAACTTTTACTTTATTTATTTTAATTTACTAACAAATTTCTACATATAGCTGGCAGATGTATATCAATAATAATAACAACAACAAATAAATAACATAAAAGTTTCATTATAAATACGGGAAAATTTAGCAATATTTTTTTTTAAAAATTTAAAATGTCAACTTTGTGTCATTTTATATTTAATTTATTTTTAGGCTGATTTGCGCAAAATTCCAGCAATTCTAATTGATCAAGCAACTTGTTTAAAGCATTTCAACGAATTGATGGCTGACTATCACAAGCAAATGGAGGAAGTATTGGAAAAATTTGGTGCTGGAAAAGTTTAAATTATTTTTTTGAATACAACTATTTTGATACAAATTAAATTGCTACTATTTATAGTTTCTTTTTTTTTTTTTTTTTTTTTTTCGTTTTGATGAAATGTAATTGAAAAGAAAAATTTTGTTATAAATCCACTGAAAAGCACATTGATTATGAATAAATGTGTCAAATACTTTCAATAGATAATTGTAATGTGAAAATTTTCATTGCGACACTTCAATGTCATCCATTCAGTTATTGATCAGCTATTCAAAAAATTTTTTAAATATATAATTTGATAATTTAAAAATTACATTTCATTGAATAATTTACAACAATTTCAAAATTTTAGTTTTGTTTCCATTTTATCACAATTTTAAAGAAATTGAAATCTGACAGAATAACAAAAAGCAAAGATTGAATGATAACAATCATTGGCGAATCATTCATCATTTTCATCATTATTTCATAAACATAACTTACTAAATGTAACACTTTTTCTTTTCACTTCAAAATTTTAAAATTTAAAAATAAATCAATAAATCATATTGTGTCATTTACTTATATAATCAATGACAATTGTGAAAGGAAAATTCAGCTTAGAATTTGATTTTTAGTGATTTTTTTTTTTTTTTTTTTCAAATAAAAATGAATGATAAATGAAAAAGACTGGTTGAATTTATTTTTGTCATTTGTTTGAGTAACATTTTACAACCCGTTTCACAATAATCAATCTTTACATCTCTGCAAACATACAAATTTCAATGGAAAAAAAGAGCGGAACGAAAATTTAAACAATAAACCTTATCATTACTGCTAACAATTATTATGGATGTATTTAGGAAATTTAATTTGTACTTTGCAAAAGAAAAAAAAAAACACTTATTGAATTAATTTTTTTTTTTTTTCAAAATAAATTATTCAATATTTTTTTGAAAGTAAAAATCAAACTTATCTATCGTTTCTATTTTAAGAAATTAACTTTACTGTTGATAGTTTATCAACATGTAATATTATCATTAGACTCAAATTTTTCATAAAAAATTTCTGGGAAAAAAGAAATTTGTATCTAATTTAAATATTTGCAATATTTTGTTAGAAATAAAACAACAAATAAAATTATTTATTTATAGTTCAGTCAAACATGAAGAAAAATTTTTTTTCTTTTTTTTTCTAATCACTAAATTAGCTATTGTATTATATGTTTTATGGTGATCTTTTCCGGAAATATTGTGAACAGTTGGACGATAATTTCCATTGATTCTGAAAGTATTGTGGTGGTGGTGCATCTGCTTCTAAATATGGTACCATAAATGCCCAAATTGATTGATTTAAAGGAATTTGATCGAAATCACCTTGATGATAAGAATACTGTAATTAAATAAACATATGTTTAGTTAAAATTTTAAAAAAGCATTACAAATGCTCAATAGTTGAAATTTATTTATATTTGATTGATAACAAACTGCTAAATATTTTTTTGGAAAAGGAATGAATGATATACTGATAATGAGTGATAAGTCCAGAAGATGCGTGTTGTAAGGCAATAGGCCAATACCACATCAATTGTATAATGCTTCCTGGCCAATAATATACATGTAATGGCCACAAATGTGGCACAGTAACATAACTCAGCCAAACAAAAAAATTTCTTTGGGCAGTATTGTTTCAAAGCTAATGCAGCCATAAATAGTGATATGGTATGTCCTGATACGATCAGATCACCACAAAGCTCTCTGTAAAAGGAACTGTAATTTTGAAACAGTTTAGAATTTGCAGGAAAAAATTCAGAATATAAATTTATACATAATTAATAATTAATTAATTATTTAATGGTAATGATAGAACGTAAATGATATATAAATATTTTCCATTAAATAATATATGTTGCAAAAATTTTTAAATATTTGATGGAAGAAATTGTTTTAAAGTTAATCTTTTACTGAAAAAAATAGTTTATTCTTTTTTGGAAAAAAATTATTAAAATAAATAAAAAAAGAAAAAAAAAAAAAAGGCAATTAACCGTGGACGAAGTTGTTCAATTCCAACTGACCAAAATGTCCTTAAAACTCGACTAATTATTATATTTAAGCTACCATTACTTTTCGGTGCGCAATATGTTTTCTCACTTGGCACAGGTACCTATAATAGGAGACAGTTTTAATTTTAATTTCAATTTTATCAATAACAATTATAAAACAGAGATTTGTGTGAAAAAAAAAATGAGGGGAAATTTTTCTTCATCATTTTTAAATAACTGATAAGTTTTAAAAAATATTGAGTATTGAAATCTCGAAATAATATTGTAATCAAATGCCATTGGTTTAAATTTTTTTTCTCATTATGTTAATATCACATTTTATCTCATTTAATCCTATTTCTATTACTTTATTAAAATATTTTACTGTCTCTTAGGTGTTAACACAAAAAGTTATATAATTTTTTAAATTCATACAACCAAAGCATTGATTGATTTCCTGAATAGTATTGCTAGTGATAATAGTAATATTAACTGATAAAATGATACGATATCAATAATGAGTGCTCTAATAATGATGTAGAAAAGAATGTAAAAGAAAAATAAACTCATATCTTTTTTCAAAAATTTTTTAAATTTATTTAAAAGTTTTGCAATTATAATTTATACCATAAAATTAAATGCATTATTTGCATGAATTTATCAAATATTTTCAATCGAAATTTCTGATATATCATTTGTTTGAACTATAAATGAGCGAAAAAAAAATTAAGCATTTGATGCAAAACAATGTTGCATATTGTCATCAAACATTCTTTTTTCACTTTTTTTTTTCCTCAATTTAATTTTTCAGTAATTAGAAAAATGTGTAGGAAAAAAGTGAAAAAAAAAAAGATAAAATAATTTACTTAATTATAGTAATTTTCATTATATTTTCCATTTTGTGCTAATTATTGCGAGGAATGAAAAACAAAATTTCAACAAACATAAAATTATTTCACTTGTTTATGCAATTTTTGATAAATATCTCAAAAAAAAATCAATGATTTTTATTTTTCAACTTAAATTTTAATTGTTTTTTTTCCAATTGATTTGTTATTTTTTTTGTTTTGTTGAAAAAATTGTTGATTATTACAAATATTTTATGAGATATTGTGTAATAATTGATTATTTTCAACTTATATAATTATTGTGCAGTCAGTGCGAAAAAAAATCAAAATTTTGCAATTTTAAAAGTTAAAAAAAATTAAAATTAAAAAAAGAAGAAAAAAAAAGTGAAATTAAACCTGAAATATAACAATGCAAAAAGCGCGAAAAGTGTAGCATAAAGCGGCGCAAAAAAAAATCCTTCGAATGACAATCCATCGATATTGGTGACAAAATATGACAATAAATAATGCCACAATTAGAGTAATCATTATAAACTCTGTTACTAGGATTGAATTTGTTATCTGTAACAAATAAAATTAAGGAAAAAAATTCACATTTTTTATCATTTTTTTGATTTGAAAGAAATAAAGATTGACAGAAATAAATGATAGTAATTTTTAATTCAATAATTTAATAATAATAACATAATTCAAATAGTAAAAATATTTTTGTAAAAAATGAACTGAATTTAATTCTAGTAAAACTAAACGAATTTCTCACTTCAGGAAATAAACTGAACCATAAATCCGGTAGTGGACGTACGCCATTACGTGGTATTCGATCATGTACCCATGCTAATGCTAATTCATTTGCAAACCATGCTAAAACCTAAAAAGTATAATATTTATTTCAAAAAAAATAGTTAAACTGGATGAATAAATCGGTTAAAATGACTAAAATGAGTAAATCTTAATTCATAAAATTCATAAAATTAACCTAAACTTTGATTTTAATGGCTATTATTAAAAAATTTTTTTAGCAGAATTTAATGATAAAATATTTCAAATCTTAGACAATATTTTGGACAGCAATAATTTTTAAATCTTTCTAATATTCGATCTAAAATTAATACTATTATTATTTCAAAAAATGATAACAAAAGAGAAGTTGGAATTATGAATATGCTATCTCCCATCAAATTGATTTATTTAACTTTAGTAAATTTAAAAATTAAATTAAAAATGGCATAAATTTCCCATAAATTTTAATTATATATTATTATATTAAATTATATTTAATATTAAATTTTTCAGGAACAAATATTTAATCATAATATATCTGATCTTTGATTTATGAAAAAAAAATCTTTTTTGGTTGAAAAACAAAACTAAAATTAAATTTTTTTTTTGACGCATCAAACTTGAAAAATTTATGATATAAAATTTGAATCTAAGTTTTTGTTTTAATAAAAAATCCATTTATTTTATGCAAAAAAAAAGAAAAGAATATAAAGTGGAAATAGTATATAATAAAATAATAAATTTTGCTTAGACAATAAAATTAGTATAATAATAAAATTTGTTGAAATTATAGCTAAAACTTACTAATAGAATAGTTGCAAGAAACGTTGGTCCACGTTTTGATTTAAATGTTTTATCAATTTGAATATCATTAGATGTTATTGTCACTCCGTACATTTATTTATTTATTTCCTTAAAAAGAATATTTAACAAATCGTAAGCAAATTGTAAAAATACGAAATTAATTTCTTCTCCTTCCACAAATAATTAATTAATTAATTATTACTGCTAATGATTAATCGATACTGAATATTAATTTTGTTTCCTAGAAAGCTATCAGATCTATTCGTTACAGCAATAAATGTAAAATTTATTATTATTCAAAGCTTTCTTATATGAAAAAACAAGAAAGAATTTGATATATAATTTTGTTAAACTAAAATTTCATATATTAAAAATTGAAATACAGAAAATTAATTGAAAGTAATTAAAATTTTTTTCAACCATATTGCAATATAAATTGTATAATACAATTTTATATTTAATTTTCCAATTTAAAATTACAAGAAAAAAACGATCGCATTTATTAACAAATATAAAATTTATAATGAAAAATTTTCAATGAAATATTTGAATGAATCATTTGTGGAAAGCGAAATTTTTTTTTTAAACATTTAAATAATTAACAATCATTTATTGTCCTGTATTAAATATATGACAATAATTAAATGATAATATGATAAACTGATAAGCAGATCAATAAAAACTAACAATTTAAAGCATTTTTCCTCTAATCAGAAAATAATTACTTGTGTTATTTGTTCAATGATAAATTAAAAGAAAAAAAAATCATTAATAAAAAGGAACTGAAAAATGTAACTATAATAAAATCATAAATGATAATTTAATTAATGAATTAAGGAAAAATTAATTTGATTATAAAGATAGCAAATTTGTCTATTATCAATGAATAGTTGTTATGTATTATTTATTGAACAGATAAACTGATAAGAAGCTAACACAATAATGATAATAATAGTCGAATGTTAGTGAATGTAAGCAATTATGAAAAATACATCAATCAAAAACTGTAAAATTAAGAAAAACGAAAAAAAAAAAAGAAGAAGAAGCATTTTATTGAACGAATTACTTATAAAAATAATTTGTCATGAAGAATTGAAATTGTTGAAAATGTGAGATTAAATGGAAACTTCCGTAACTTATTGATAAGATATTACTAATTGTATATGATATATTGATAATTTGCAGTATCAAATTGCTATCTTAACATCATCCCAACGAATCAAAAAACGAAATAAATTATTTATTTTCTATGATAATAATATTATCAGTAATGAATAATAATCATACATTGATATAATTTAAAGTTTGTATAAGTTTAATTTGTATATATCAATATTCCATTTAAAAAAATTCATTCTATTTTAGATAATAGATGAAAAATATATGGAAAATTTTTGAGAATAAATTCAATTTTATTTCATTTTACTCGAAACTTATCATACATTTTTTTTTTTTTTTTCATTCAAATATGATAAATTATTATTGCAATATTCTATATTTATGTCTTATTTTCTATTTAAATATTGTAAATTATAAATAATTTTGCCATGAATTATTTGAATTAGATGAAAGGAAGAGATATAATCAATTTTGTTTATTAAAATTTTCTCTCATTTTTTTTTTTTTTTTTTTTATTAATCATCATTTGATGTATGAAAAAATATAATAACATAATAATTCTTTTTTTTTTAAATTCTAATTTAATTTTACAATAAGAATTTTCTCTTCTCTTTCTTTTCCTTTCTCTTTCTTGTTTACTTTTCTTTTTTCCTATTTTAGTATGATTATTGATTTAATATGTTTTATGTATTTTATCAAAATAAAATGGAAAATAAAATTTTAAGAAAAATATTGGTAGCATTTTTGCTTTTCATTAAAATAAATTTCAAATTCAATACAATGATTAAAAAAAAAAAAAAAAAATTAGTTAGACGATTAAGTTATGAATGTAAAACTTCTCAGATACGATAATATTTAAAGATTAATTTTAAAGTGTTCAGTTAAATTTTATTTTGTAAACTTTGAAATTTTTTTTTTTTTCAATAAAAATCTAAGCAATATTTTATTATCTGAAGGATGAAAAAAAAAAGTGTATTATGGTAGATAATTCTTTTTTTTTTTTTTGTTTTCAAATTAAATTTTAATTGCATAATTAATTCAATCTTTTATAAATTAAATAGTTTAAAGTAAAGATTGAAGTTTTATAAAATGAGTAGATAATAGCAGTAGTCGTAAGAAGAAAAATGGAAAGATAAATAAAAACTTAAAATTAATTTGTTTTTTTTTCTCTCTCTCTCAAAATATTCATAATGCGTGATACTTTTATGCATTTATGATAATATAAAATTTATTTTTCAACTGATAATTTCAATGTTTGTTTTTTTTTTTTTTTTCACTAAGTTGTTACCATAGATACAAAAAAAAAAAAAGAAAAAAAAATGAATGAATGAATGAATAAAATTATTTGAATCGTTAGATATTCATTAATTTAACTTAGCTATTCCAAATTTATATATCATTTATCATTAGTGCTTAGTCAGTAACACCCACCAATTTCTCTCTAACTTTTTCCCATTAATGAAGCAATAACCAAACGAAATCGGCAAATTTTCATCGACAAATACAATTTATTTAATTATAGCATGCTTTTTTGTAATTATCAGATACGAATTAAAATCTAATTTGAAAGCAAAATAGCATGAACAAACGAAAATGTCAAGCGAGAAAAATAGAATAGTCGAAGTGTTTAATTTAAAAAAAAAAAAAAAAAAGGTATTAGATTTAGTATTAGTTTATTTCATAATTATTTGTTTTGTTTTCTTTTTTTTTTTTTCTTCATAAAAAAGAAAGATCAATTAGAGAAAAATAATTGGAAATGTGACATGAAAAAATCTGAAAAAATATTTAAACTTGAAATAAATATTATAAATTGAATTGAACAAAAAAATGAAGCGAAATTTGAAGTTGAAAATGAAATAAGGTCATCATGAATGGATGAATGAATGAATGAATGAATGATCTATATATTACTGCAAATTTTTTCACTTTAAAAAAAAATTGAAACATTATGATGACCAAACATGGACATATGATGACCAAAGGCCAAAAACAATATTCAACTATTTAAATCAATTGGCAGATGTAAATTTTGATTGCAAATGTAAGCGGATGTAAATGTAATTATAACCGATAACTTAAATTTTTTACTCTTTTAGTTACTCGTATTTAATCCAAGAATTGCATATTGTCAAAGTAAAGTAAACAAATTTTATATTAGCATTATCTCGGAACATTTTTGTTACTTTTGTTACTAGGCTAGTAGCAGTAAACAACAATAATAATAAATAACAAGTGATAATACTAGTTTAAAGCAATAAGTAAACTAACAAATAAAGGATATTACATTACTAAATAAAATATTAGATCATTCTACTTCTTCACGTACGTTTCCATTTGACCTCATCAGTCTCTGTCAAAATCAGTGTCATAAGTTTTTAATTTTACTTTTCTATAAACAGGTTGAAATTTAAAAACTATTCGTTCAAATAATAAAATGGTATCAGTGCATACTTTCCGTAATCACAAAGATTATAAGTGATAAGGTGATGAAGAACATTACTGCTGATAACTGATAACATACCGAGAGAGTCTGTTCTGAGAAGCTAACTGATACTGTTATATCGAATAATGAAAGAAAATTGGTTCTTCTATCGATTCCTAAGAATATATTCGCTTTATCAGTAACTTCTGCGATCCTTAAATTTCGCTCACATCATTAATGGCATTGTTGCAGAATGAAAATTGAAACTGATGTATGTTTCAGTAGTTTTATTATTGATAAAAGGCAAATTCTGTTAGAGATTTGGTGATAAATTAAATTGATAAGAAGTATTAAATTAGGTGGACCATTTTATTAGATGACCAGAACAGAGTACTACAGAGTTGACCACTGGATCAGATGTGACCAACAGATTGATTAGTTTTGAATAGACATCTCAAAGTGAATCGGTCAAATGAGACCAACTCGTAATAAAGTGCGCATACGCATATGCTACGTGATAGGAACGATACTTCGGAACAAACATACGTGAACAACGTCTAACAGTCGTAAACGTTCTTCGATAACGGAATTTAATAAATTTAAAGCATAGCGATTGAAGATGAAGAGAAATGTACAAATATTGTAATACAGTAAGTGGAAATAATTAAAAGGGATAAAAAAGGTCACAAGAGGTTATAATTATAGAAAGATCAAGGTAGAGGAAGGTAGGAGAAGACAGGAAATTGTGATCATAAAAGGCCAAGAAAAAAAAAGAATCTGTACGAAATAAAGGTAGAAAATGAGAAAGAAGAAAATTAAAAAAAATTATTGGCTGATTGATTGATATAAGAAAAGGATCGATCATTTAGAAGAAGAATAAAAATAAAAGTAAATAGACGAAAATTGCGTACACATTTGAAAGAGCAATGAATAGAGGAAATGGAATTAAGAAAGATTTTAAAATAATGAAAATCGGTAAAGAAAAAGTAGGATTAAGAAAAGGGAAATGACTGTCGAAATAATAAAATACATAAAGAATAGATAGAAGAAAGAGGTAGAAAAGAAGGTGAACAAAGCAATGACATTTGAATATAATACTTTAAATAAATAAGCTATAATCAATTTAAAATAAAATTTTATGAACCTAACTGAAAAGAAAGGTTATAATTGCAACTTTTACATTATAAAAATTACAATCGTGTCGATTAGTTTGCTATATTTACTACAAATAAATTGTAATTAATAAAAACTAATTGCTATTAAAAGTAATTCAAATTAATAAAACTTGAAGCTAGAAAGAGAGAAAAAGCAAAAGAGTATTATGATGATGAATATTTTGCAAGTTGCTTAAGAAAAAAAAAATGAAAAGGAATGAAAGGAAAGGAAAATAATTGTTGAGAGGAAATAGAAATGGGATCAATTTTGAATACTGAAAAAGAAGACAAAAAAAAAAAAATTGCTATAAAGAAGAAAGGAATGATAGGTATTAAGATCAGTGATAGAAACTGATTATCTTATCAGTAACTGACTGTATGAAAATTCATTTCGAAATGTCAATATAACTGAGTTATTATTTCGATACGTGGCCATTTTCATCACAAATATGAATGCAATATTACTTTTAAAAACGATGATAAGATATAATTCAAAGGAAAAAACTATCGTAGAAAGTGACAATAAACATTTTAAAATTAGAAAATTTCAGTTTGAAAATTAGATGAGCGGAAAATTAGATAAAAGTATCTTACATATTTTAAGTGTGATTATTAAATTCTTCCATTCTAATGCTTTTTCTTTTAATTATTGCATTATGTAAAATTTTTTTTTTTTTTGGATTTACAATTAATTGCAATTTTTTTTGAATTTGAATCTTTTCTCTACTAGGAACTTTTTTTTTTTTTTCATTTGGAATCATTTGCATAGTATCAAATATTCTATTATCATTTTGAAAATGCTGTCAAAGTAAAAATAGTAAAGGAAATATTGTGACATATTTTCTCACACATATACTAAATAAAATTACCTCACTGACCTCAAAATGACCTCAAAGATTAAAGATTAGAAAAAAAAAATCTTTGAAACATCAAACATTCACGAATTTTTCAATTATAATGCATTTACCTGTGATAATCGTAATGTAAAGATATTGTTATGGGTAAATTGGAGATAGTATGAATTAATAAAAAGGACGAAAGAAGGATTCAGGTAAGCAACGATGAATCATAGGGAAAGATCGATGATCGATCATTAATGCATGTTTGATGTTTTAGAAGCAGCGAAAACTTATGGAATGCTTCGAGCTGCCATTGCTGGCTGAGTGGTTGAATTCTTTGTTCTGCGAAATGCATGGTTCATACATAGTTAGAGAAGCATTAAATCAAATCAAAATTAAGGAAAGAATTAGATGGAAGGAAATTATCATTATTTATTACCATTATCGTTATTATTATTTATTACTATTATCATTATTATTATTATTGTTATTATTATTGTTATTGTTACTGTTATTATTATTATTTGTTATTACTATTTATTGCTATTATTTATTTATTTTAGCTATTGGTTTATTATTATTATTACTATCATGATTATTGTTGTCATCATCATAATTGTTAATGTTTTCATTATCATTATTCTTACTGTTGTATTATTAATTATTATTATAACCATTATTAATTAAGAAATGACTACACCGCCGATCAAAGTCAGCGAAGGTATTTACAACAATTTCACTAATTTATGATCTGTAGGAGTATAATAATGAATCACCATGTTGAAATATTTGTGGGCCAGCATGACAAGTAAATAAATGTTGTCACACTTGAGAGTAATTAATCGATAGATCAATTAATCAGCAATGATAGTAAATGAGATAATTTAATCATGATTAAAATAAAGGTTTTATTTTATTGCTTTCAATAAAAGACTTATGACCATCTACTAGAAAAGAAAAAAATATTATCAATGCAAATAAAGTGAGGAAAAAAAAGGCAGAAAGAATTATTTCCAGGTGGATGACAATATTTTCCGTTTCAGCTTAATTTGATTCTTAGCAAAAAGAAATGAATAATTTTTAAAGAGAAAGAAAATTAATAATATTGAAGCATTTAACCTTGGAAAAAAAAAACTTACATTTAATATTTTTTGTAGAATTTTAAATAAATCCGGTTATATTATCAATGCTAAGATAGAAATATCTTTGAAACGAAAATTCTAAAAATTATCGAAGTTAATTGCTTACTTAAATGAAATATATGCTAAAATATAAATAAAGAAAGAAGGATCGAAAGATGATGAATTGTAGAAGAATGTTTTTTTGATAGTGAATAATATGTTAACAGTCGAAGGTAGATGATCCGATTATTTATGATAACAGGGAAAAAGACAGAGGCAAAAGCATTCGCTTACCTTGCTGACCTCTAACCTCTAAAGGTCATATTTAAAATGGAATTCTACATTGCTTAGATTGAATTTCTTCAGCAAAATCAATTTTCTAAGAGTAAAAAATTATGGAATAAAAAAAAAAAAGAGACATATGTTAGTTTGAGAAATAAAATTTGAACTATTCAGTTGTTTGTGCAACGAATCAAATTGTTACATTTAAAATAACAAGCAAATACTTCTTAAAGTGATTCCTTCCATTTTGTCTGTGATTGTTTAAGATTGCTTCTTTGATAATAATTTGAAATAAAAGAGAAAAAAAAATTTTTTTTTCACGTGCTATTTTACTTTTATCATCGTTAGCTGCAATAATAAATGAAATATCTGTTAAATATTAATGTTATATTGTAAATGTTAGATTCAAACAAATTTAATTTAATATAAAATAATTAATTTATAAATAAATAAAGCGCTGAAATTTTCCAAAATTTTTTAATATTTTTGCGATTTTTTTACCGTTTTGATGAATTATCAATAAATAAAAAAAATTATTTCTTTGCAGATTTCATAGCTGAATACTAAACTTTTAATGATCTTCCAAACTGATGATCCTTTATACTATTCCCTTTCATAAAACAGAAAATTTTCTTTGAAACGATGAAAGTAAAACAAAAAAAAAAAAATGAAACTAACAAAATTATTTTAAAATATAATTTTGAAAGTGATAAAAAGATTTTTATCGAAGATAAATACACCTGTAATTATGGGAAATTTTTAGCATTATCTTAAAACTTAAAACCTTTTGCGTCACAAAAGAAATTCGATGAATTCCAATGGAAATATTCGTCATTTCTCAAATTAGAAAAGGAAAACAAACATATTTTGAAATGGAATTTTCAAACAAAATAATGATTTTAAAAACTTTGATCACAAAGAAAAGAGTTTACTTACTAATGTGCTAGTAAATATTCCGATAGTAATTATAATAAAAAAAGTTATGGATTAATTGAATTCTATTATTTGGCTGATTTATTTGCATACTCTAATGCTTACAGTGTCCAATTATGTTTCCATGATAGTACTAATATAAATACGTTTAGTATTCCGGAAACCGGTAATATTTATTATTTCAGTAACATGCTGTGTTGTGAAGAATATTTCATGAAATATTTCTTTCTATCATTCCTTGGCATTTCTATAACAGAAACTTAATGAATGACACTGATTTGAAAAATCAATTGGTCACTATTTCAGAATGGACCGAACAATAGCCATTATTCATCATCCAACTTTTATCATCCCATAAACTATCTCAATTTTATCATTTTTTTATCAGACTGATTTTTCACTTTTCATCGTCGAAATGCAAGGATAACTTTTGACATAATTTGGATATTAATCAGTGGTTCTCTATATGTCAGAATCTACAAGATTATAATGGAAACTTCAATAAATTAATTTCAATTTACATTTGCTTAAAAATTGGCCATTTTTTGGCTAATAAATCTTTTCAACATTCTTTAGAAGAAAAAGTTGTAGAAGTAGGCCTAAAGTAAGTTAACTTAAGATTTAAGAGAATCGGAAAAAGCTTTTAGCCATAAAAGAAATCAGTCCAATAGAATTAATATCCATAAAAATTATTCACTTAAATGAATAATTTTTGCATTTAATTTTCAATTTGGCCCTGCAACGAAACCTTTGGTCAAATCATTTCAGTCATTTTTCCATGTGATTTCAATCAAACAAAGTACACTTCCACTTTCGTTCCTTCACATTACTTTCAGATATAAAATCATGAGACTATTTGAAATTTCAGTGGAAAACATTTTCATCAATAAAATTATCTGTGACCGAAGATTCCGAATATTCAGCATGTAACACGGAAAACCACAAAACCGGAAACTTTCTGGCATAAAGTTTTTTACAATAATAACTATTTACAAATCAGTAGTACCAGGAAATTCTAACAGAAATGTCAAACTTAAGAATACCATCAGAAATACGAAAAAGGAAGCGGATGAAATTTGTTATGCACTTAATAAACACTACTCATTCACACTCATACAAAATAAACTTTATAATGATTGAACATTTTTGTAAAAAACAAAAAATACCTCATCTACGACGATTTATTCCAGTCGAAATTCAAATTTCATTTCCATGTCAGTTTGTCAAATTCACTTTTGAAATGTTATGTAAATGCAATCAAAGAATGTGGATGAGTTTAACAGACAATGTCCTTATCCTTATCACTACTTACTAATTGCTTATCTTTATCACTCCTTACTTTTAGTTTATGATACTAGCACACATTATTATCACCCACAGCTCTAGTCCATCTACTTTGCTTTGATAACTGTTATGGTAGTCAGTCATGAATGCACCGCGGAAAATAGGAATTTTCTTGCGGAATTACTGGAATGTTAGACGAATATAACATATTCCTACGCCATAACATATTTGCTTATAGCAAATGAAAAATGAAAAATTTATTGATCTATCATTATACAATATGATAATCAATGATAAGTTGATAAGGATCAAATTTATTGACTATTGAAATTTGGTGTCACATTGGAGAGGAGGCAACAAACTACGGTAAATAATGAGTAAAGATATGAATACAACAAGTACAATCCAGTATCGTAGTTCCACAGACCATTCCATATCGGTATACTTCGATTCCGATCCACCCTCATACATAGCTTTATAACTGACCGGTGGCTTTATATCGTCCATGTCATCATCATCCGGTAACATTGATTCCTGAAACTTTCCACCAATAATGATCAGTTCTTCCCCTAACAAAAAGTGTTAATCAAATTCTGAAAAAGAGAAACTCCTCCACACTTCCTCTCATCAATAAAATTCGTTAATCTACAATTGTTAAATTTGCCATTTTCAAATATTCATACTATCATTTGCATATTTCAAATCTTCAAAGCAGGCAATGGTCGGAAATGTAATCGATATGTTATCAATTCCACTGCAACAAATTTATTTTATGTGTGACTCATAAACACTGATTACCATTTGTAGTGTGCATTAAGCGCCGTCATCGTGTGGACTGGTGAAGGCGGTTGTGATGACAATTCGGCAGTAGGTGCCAAAACATCCATCGTTCACGCTTTTTTAATCTTATCTTTTCACTCATTACCTATTTTACTCAAAAAATGAAATAATCTCTTTCTCATCTTTTTCCTATCCATCATTTTTTCATTCTTAAAACTATATGCTAATTTTTCGAATAATTTAAATTATTTTACTTATCAAAAGCAATTATTATTATTTCTGTCTAAAAAAAAAATAATATAAAGTAAAAGCTTTTGTTTAAAAAATAAAATAAAATAAAGCAAGTTAGTTTCACTATGTTCGCTGATTGATTCTGGAAAATTTACATGAAATTTTGAGATTTTCGTATTCCACCGATAGTATAAATAAAACAGAGCTATGATTTGCTTCATTTGTACTACAATCGTTGACGCTGTTGGGCTGCCTTTAAATTGGTATGTCCGGTGAGATATTTTTTGACTTCGGCGTGAAACCAGTTAAGAAACGGAAAAGTCAAGTGCGTGAAAATCAGGTGGGTTTTTTCTCGATATTTCTTTAGTTTTCATTTATTATTAAAGCATTCAATTGCATATAGTAATTAAATTTTTATCAAAAAGATTCAATGATGAGTTATAGGTGGAATCAACGGAGAATGAGGAAGAAAATGAAAATTCGGAAGTTAGAGGTGGAAGGGAAAAAAATCACATTTGGAAACGTACCGACTATACAAAAGCTAGTGCTGTATGTCTCCGTTATTTGTAATTTCAATCTAAAATAAAAGCTTTTCAATATAATAAACCTAAGATGATTCAAATTGTAAGTTGCGTTATTCAAAAAACTTTTTAATTTTACGTAAAATTTAGGTGGATGCAATGGGTCTTTACAGCAGCGGTAAACAAAATGAAAGTGACAATTCAGCAACGCGAAGGAAAGTTCGTTTATGTATGCTAGAAGTTGAACTTTCAATTAATCCTTACTTCATATTTTTTAGCTTTATTTGCGTATTGTCGTACAATTATCAATGGTCAAATGAGCAAATGATACTAAATAGGTGACAATCCTGTAGGTGACAAAAGTTTGGCAAAAGTCTAAGATTTCTCGAGTAAATTCGTCTACCATTGATGATTCCTTCATTCGGCAAATTCTTATCATTCTTAATCTTTTAACTATATATATATTCCATTTATTCAAATTTTAGTGCGTAAACCGAAAAGGAAATCGAAACATCGGCAAAGAATTCGCGGAAAAGTACTCAAATATTTTGTTTACTAAATGACATAATGCTACATTCTTTAAACAGAAATAATAATAATCGTTTACAAAAAAATAAATAAATAACATATAGTTTCAGGAAAGAAAAGATGAGAAACAGAAGAAAGATGAGGAAGAGATTATTTCATTGTCGAGTGAAATAAGTAAGAGTGAAAAGGATGAGAAAGAACGGAAAAAGCGAAAAAAAAGAAAAAAGAAACGTTCGGATGAGTCAACTAACGGTCGCGAAATTGACAGGAAAGGTCGAATCCTGAAAACGAAGAAGAAACGTCGACCGTTCAGGCCAAAAGATAACGATGATGAGGATGATACTGGATTAGAAAAGCGAGCAGTGACTATTTCGGCACCTGCTGTCCATTCATCATCACAACCGCACCCACCGGTACACGTGGAGGAAAACACGAAGACGGCGCTCTGTGCACCATCAATGGTAATCGGTATTTGTGAGTCACATGGCAAATTGAATAACTGTAGGTTAACGAATTTTATTGATGAGAGGAAGTGTGGAGGAGTTTCTCTTTTTCAGAATTTGATTAACACTTTTTGTTAGGGGAAGAACTGATCATTATTGGTGGAAAGTTTCAGGAATCAATGTTACCGGATGATGATGACATGGACGATATAAAGCCACCGGTCAGTTATAAAGCTATGTATGAGGGTGGATCGGAATCGAAGTATACCGATATGGAATGGTCTGTGGAACTACGATACTGGATTGTACTTGTTGTATTCATATCTTTACTCATTATTTACCGTAGTTTGTTGCCTCCTCTCCAATGTGACACCAAATTTCAATAGTCAATAAATTTGATCCTTATCAACTTATCATTGATTATCATATTGTATAATGATAGATCAATAAATTTTTCATTTTTCATTTGCTATAAGCAAATATGTTATGGCGTAGGAATATGTTATATTCGTCTAACATTCCAGTAATTCCGCAAGAAAATTCCTATTTTCCGCGGTGCATTCATGACTGACTACCATAACAGTTATCAAAGCAAAGTAGATGGACTAGAGCTGTGGGTGATAATAATGTGTGCTAGTATCATAAACTAAAAGTAAGGAGTGATAAAGATAAGCAATTAGTAAGTAGTGATAAGGATAAGGACATTGTCTGTTAAACTCATCCACATTCTTTGATTGCATTTACATAACATTTCAAAAGTGAATTTGACAAACTGACATGGAAATGAAATTTGAATTTCGACTGGAATAAATCGTCGTAGATGAGGTATTTTTTGTTTTTTACAAAAATGTTCAATCATTATAAAGTTTATTTTGTATGAGTGTGAATGAGTAGTGTTTATTAAGTGCATAACAAATTTCATCCGCTTCCTTTTTCGTATTTCTGATGGTATTCTTAAGTTTGACATTTCTGTTAGAATTTCCTGGTACTACTGATTTGTAAATAGTTATTATTGTAAAAAACTTTATGCCAGAAAGTTTCCGGTTTTGTGGTTTTCCGTGTTACATGCTGAATATTCGGAATCTTCGGTCACAGATAATTTTATTGATGAAAATGTTTTCCACTGAAATTTCAAATAGTCTCATGATTTTATATCTGAAAGTAATGTGAAGGAACGAAAGTGGAAGTGTACTTTGTTTGATTGAAATCACATGGAAAAATGACTGAAATGATTTGACCAAAGGTTTCGTTGCAGGGCCAAATTGAAAATTAAATGCAAAAATTATTCATTTAAGTGAATAATTTTTATGGATATTAATTCTATTGGACTGATTTCTTTTATGGCTAAAAGCTTTTTCCGATTCTCTTAAATCTTAAGTTAACTTACTTTAGGCCTACTTCTACAACTTTTTCTTCTAAAGAATGTTGAAAAGATTTATTAGCCAAAAAATGGCCAATTTTTAAGCAAATGTAAATTGAAATTAATTTATTGAAGTTTCCATTATAATCTTGTAGATTCTGACATATAGAGAACCACTGATTAATATCCAAATTATGTCAAAAGTTATCCTTGCATTTCGACGATGAAAAGTGAAAAATCAGTCTGATAAAAAAATGATAAAATTGAGATAGTTTATGGGATGATAAAAGTTGGATGATGAATAATGGCTATTGTTCGGTCCATTCTGAAATAGTGACCAATTGATTTTTCAAATCAGTGTCATTCATTAAGTTTCTGTTATAGAAATGCCAAGGAATGATAGAAAGAAATATTTCATGAAATATTCTTCACAACACAGCATGTTACTGAAATAATAAATATTACCGGTTTCCGGAATACTAAACGTATTTATATTAGTACTATCATGGAAACATAATTGGACACTGTAAGCATTAGAGTATGCAAATAAATCAGCCAAATAATAGAATTCAATTAATCCATAACTTTTTTTATTATAATTACTATCGGAATATTTACTAGCACATTAGTAAGTAAACTCTTTTCTTTGTGATCAAAGTTTTTAAAATCATTATTTTGTTTGAAAATTCCATTTCAAAATATATTTGTTTTCCTTTTCTAATTTGAGAAATGACGAATATTTCCATTGGAATTCATCGAATTTCTTTCATTTCTATTTCTCATTCCATATAAAAAGGATGAAAAAGCCTTTTTAAGGGAATAATTCATTGGCTAATTTATTAATTTGATATCTGTTAGAAATGTTTACTATCAGTAACTTTCATCAACGTCGCAGAATTTTAATATTCGGAAATAAGCTGAACTACCACACCTCTCGTTCAGATATATATCTGTTTCAGTTTGGGTTAAAAATTTTGAAAATTTAACATTCTCAACTACTGCAAGATAAAGCAATTAAATTTAAATAATGTTATCCTTATAGATGAGCATTTAAAAATTTTGTCTCTGGTAAAAAATCAATTAACTATATATTTATATGTGTTTTATCATTTTTAAAATAATTGTTTACTGTGATTTGAACATTTAAATGCGTACTCTTAACAAATTTCCATCATTCATTCTTTCTTTTTAGAAAAGTTGTTGAAGTGGACATTTTCATTGTTTACTTCCGTCATTTTTCAAAATTTCGATTTTTTTATGGATTTGAATTCTTCTCATTTTTTTTTTTTCATTTTTTTTGTGAAATTTTAGCTAAATATTCAGACCATTTTCTTTTGCCTTTGGGCGTAATATTTTCTCATTTAAAATTCTGAATGAAAAATTATAAATGAAAGTGATAATAATCAGCAAAGAAAATCAAATATTGTTTCATTTTTTTTTTCATTCTAATGTTTAGTTGTTTCATTTTTTAAACTTTTATTAGCTGAAACTTCATTAATTAATAATTTAAATAATTTTGAGCATTTTGATTCTAATATTAAAATTGTTTTTATAAGACTGAAAAGCGATACAAAGCTGATGCATTTCTTTTTTTTTTTTTTGTACTGGAAATGAAATTAATTTTAATCACTGATAAGCTAAAAATTTAAAAAGTGAAATATGGAATGCTTTAGGGAAAGTGAAAAATTTATAGCAAATGTTTATATAGAAGTTTTATTCTTTCCACAAATATTGCCATTACAATTATTTTATGTTTTTGTTATTAAACATCAGAAAGAAATACTTTGTTGGTATGACTGAATGAAAACTAATTTCATTTAATTAATTGAAATTAAAGTTTTGTGTATACGTTATGTTTGATTGACATTAAGATAAACTGCAAGTTGCTTAAGACTTTAAAATAAATGATAAAATGGCTGAGAAAAGACTATTTGACTCAGAGAAGAATAATTTTATGAACATATGATTTTATTAAGTTAGTTCACATGGCTTTATTATCTGCTATTCTATTCATATAGACTTATCATTATTTTACTTTAATCATATTCTAATTAAAATATTATTTGCTAATTTAATAAGAATGACTTCTTACCAGTGATTATAATATATAATTTGCAAATATTATAAAAAATTGCAGTGCTGATAATATTTAATTTTTAATCTCTTTATTTGAATATACTTTTTCAAGTTAAATTACTTGAATTACGCAATATGTTTAATTAATTTTTTGATTATATCAAGTTTTTAAAACAGTAGAAATGATTGATGTAAAATGATTACTGAATTATAAATGAATAATTTTAGCGACCAAATAAATATAATTAAAGAAAAAAGTTATAATAACATTTGAACTGAAAATTATTTATGCATTAAATTTGATTAATTATTTACATTTCATTTCGAGAAGCAATAATTTTTTATTCACCAATGTTTACATCAACTATTTAATAACTATTTATTCTTTTATAAGTTGAATATTATCAAAATTATCCTGAACAAATCACATAAAATTTGTTGAACATAAGTTGATAAAAACAAATTGTCACTATCATTTTCTTCCTTTATTAAAATATATTTATCAGTTGCATTTTCAAATTTGATATTATCTAAAATTGACATTTGTAATTTCAATTTTATTTATATAAAATTGAATTAATTGATATGTTTTCCAAATGACAATCCATTTTTTTGTTATTATTACAACCTTAATTATCTGTTTGGTAGGAATTAAAAAAAAAAAAAAAAAAAAACGGAAAAAATTTGTCACTTACAATGCTTAAATGATAAGCATCAATCATTTGTTTACATTTATAATAATATATGTTTGTTTATGAAAAATATTTTCATTTTCCCATATATTAATGGAGAAATATACGTCAATCACGTGTATTTGACATATTTAGTCAATTTTAAATTTTAAATGATTGATAAATGGAAAGTGATACTTCTAATTTTAAATTAAATAAATTCTTTTTTTTTTTTTTTGCTTTATTTTCTTCAAATGAACAAATTTGCAAATATTTAAAGATATCTGTCTCATTTCTTTTTTCTCAGTTAAAAAAATTTTTCCTTTCTCATTTTAAATGTATTTTTGGCTGCCTTTTTAAATTAAATAATATTTTCAATTATAAATTATTTCATTATTTCAGCCTTTCTTTTTTCTTATTTTTAATAATTACATTGAAAAGTAAATAGGCAAACAGACAGGGACAGACACACAGAGGGAGAGAGAGAGACTTATATATATAATAGGTATGCATGTCATTTTGAGAAGATTATTTCTCTTCTCCATAAATTCAGTTGGTATAGTTGTATTTTAGAAATTTAACTCTTTGATTTGAAAATTAATGAATTTGGATTGGAAATTAATAAACATTAATGAATTTGCTTAAAACTTAGCTTCAGTATGTTTATAAATGTTTATTTCTGTAATTATTATATTAAACAATTGAAAAATAATAATAGTATAATATGCATAAATATTTGTTTATTTTTTTATTCCTCTTTTTCTCGATAATTATACTATTTTTACTAGTATACTTTATGAGTAAACGATAGTTAATAATATGTTATTATTAGCGTTACTATGGTGGCTAAGTAACAACTTCCTGAAACACTCGTTTAACTTTGACTTCCTTATTTGCTTATTTTGTTGATTTCTATGTAAGAATGTTGATGACTGATTAACTAAAATTGGAATATTTTTTATAACTAACAAAATTGCTTTTAGTTAAATGATATAAGGTCAAATACCTTACCTTACTTCAGTTTCGAAGATTTTTAGTTGTTACTTAATGCTATCATTTTGATAAGTGATAAATTTATTTTGCAACAAGATTATCTATCAATGTGCTTTTGTAATTTTGGTTTAGAATCGTTTAGGCATAAAATTGTTTACAACAAATTCAATTAGCTTCTTATCAATTACTGTAGCTATAATGAATTAATGATTACAGTAGTAAACAGTCATTCAGGTGTATGAATATTTGAGTGATTACGGTATCGCTGTAGGAATAGCTGAATTAC